CCCCCCGCCCCGGCGATCTCCCTCTCTGCTGCATAAAGGATCGCTTGGGGCCCCTACTCCCAACCTCAACCAGGAGGGGTGCGCCCCCTAGCGCGCGTGCTGAAGTACAACTTTCTTTCCCACCATCCACTCCTCTGGGGGTTTGGGAGCCCGAGTTGGGTGGGGAGGTGGAGGAGAAACCCTCCCGGCTGGGGAAAGGGAGTGAGCTGGACTTCGAAGTTGCCTTGTCTCTTTGGAGCGCCCGCCCACCGAGCTTTCTTTCCCGGGGACAGGCCTGCACTGACTCGCCCCTGTTGGGGAGACTGCGCACCGGCGGCCTGGCGCTCGGGCGGTGAAGGACCTGAGCAGGGACCACCCGCCACCCAGCTCGGAGCGCCGCCGCGGGGGTGGGGCTCAATAAAGGGCCAATGCGTCCCGACCCGCCGCTCCTTTCCCTGCTCACTCTCTCAGCCTCGGCTTCAGCGACGATCGCATCACCATCCATCCTAACCTTCTCCTAATCTGGGACCATTTCGGGGGCGGAAGTGGAATGAACCCCTGTTGGGCACCTCCTCGATATCAGGCACGGATTCGCAAGCCCAGTGCCAAGAGGGTCGGGGGTGGTGCGGCGGCACCGGGGCTTGAGTTCCTGGGAGACTTGGGGACGATGGGGACCGCAGGACCCTGGCTGAAAGCCGTTCTCGCGGAGCCCTCCCGCAGCATCTGGTCCCCTCTCGCCGACCTGGGAGCCCCATTTTCCCACGGGTTTACACCCTGCTGTGGTTCCCCGCGCCCCGCAGCAGAGGCCAACGGCTCTTCGGCACTTTTATTAAAAACTAGTAACGCGGAGAGTGCTCAGGGTATCCCTAGGCCGCTCTAGCCCCGCGGGACTGGGTCAGTTCCTGTCGCGCACGTCTCAGCCCGGGGGTGGGGGTGGGGGTCGAGATTTTCGGGGCCCCAGACCCCGCCGATCACTTGCCCACCGAGTCGAATATGATGCGGTTCTGCTCGGCGCGCTCCCTCTGGCTCTGCGTCCGCGCCAGCTCCAGCAGGGTCCGTAGCAGGTGGAAGGTGAGGTCAATGGACAGCGGAGGGTCGTCCCGTCGCGGCCGCTCGCCTGTGATCGCGGATCCCCATCGGCCCTGCCCCGCGCGGCGCGGGAAGCGCTCCGCCAGCAGCAAGAGGAGCGCGCGGGCCCCTCCACCGTGGTTCCGTGTCCCGGGGCTCCAGCGCAGACTTGGGTCCTGGACCCCGGCCGCCGCCGCCTCCGGGCTCCACTGGCTGCTCCCCGGGCGCAGCTGTGCCAGGAGCAGCAGCGCCGCCAGCAGCGCCGCGCGTCCCGCCGGCCTCATGGTACCACCGGCCCTGGACACACAGGCGCAGCGCAGGGTGAGGCGCGCCAGGGGTAGTCGCAGGGGGAGCCACTCTGCTTCCCGCGCACTTCCAGCGCCCCTGTCGGGCCCCTGCGACTGCTGCCCGGTGCCCACAGCCTTCCCTCCAGCCCCAGCCGCTGCCCAGTCCTGTGCCACCCTTTTCTCCCTCCCTCCCTCTTGGCGGGTCGCGGTGGGTGAGCTGAGCGCAGTCCCGGTGCTGAGGGAGTCTGGGCGGACGCCGAGAGCCACTCACAGTTTGCCGGAGAGCGTCTGTACCCTGCAGGAAGGAGCTCCCGTCTCGGTCCCTCGGGGCGGGCTGAGGGCGCCTTCGGGAACACGGGGTCTGTCCCGGGACTGCTGCCAGCCTTATATAGCGCCAGGACAGCTCCGGCTGACGTCAGCGAGGAACATGCACTGATTGTAGAGCAATGACGGCCGCAGCTCCGAGTCCGACCCTTGCGGCTGCGAGACCCCGTGGGGCGCGTCTCTGGAAGTGACACCTGGCTCAAGAGAGGGAGAAGCCTGTTGGGGAGTAAAGACTGCTCCAGCCATGAGAGTCCTTCACCTGTTTAGAACAGCCAGCAGTGACCAGGGGGCCTGTCCCCAGACCAGACTAGTCCAGATCTGCAGTCTTCTCTGGCACTTGAAAGGAAGACTGGACCGCGGGGGCTGTCCATGGTGCTGACCTTGTCCTCAGCCTCTAGAAGGGGCCAGAGGCCTCTGGAGAATGCTGTCCCGCTCAGACCCAGTCCTTTGCCCCAGCTATCAGTTCTGTAAACGGAGGCAATCAGGACAGCACTGCTGGCACTCAGCTACCATCATGGTGCCCACCCAAGAGGCGTCTGAGGCAGCTTGAGCTGCCAGGATTTTTGATGTCATTCTAGCCCCAGGATCTAAATTCTAGGGCTGTCTGACTGAGGCACCATAAAAAAGAGGGCCTCTGGTCAGGGTGCTTTCAGACAACAAAAGGCTGGCCCATCTGCTTATAGGTTTGCCCCAAAGCAGGAGTTTAGCCAAGTTAATTTTTCTCCTGGGAATCACAGCAGCAGTATTACTTTATCTTTGACCTCCAGGTTAAGATCACTGGGTAGGAAGTAAGGAAACTTGCTGTCTTAAGTGTTTGAGCTGCTATAACAAAAATACCATAAACTGGGTGGCTTATAAACAACAAACGTTTATTTCTCATAGTTCTGGAGGCTGGGAAGTCCAAGATCATGGTGCCAGTAGGTTTGGTGTCTGGCGAGGACCTGCTTTCTGGTTCACAGATGGCACCTCTTGCTGTCTCATCACATGGCCTCTTTTGTAAGTGTACTGATCCCATGAGCGCTCTGCCCTCATGACCTAATCACTTCCCAAAGGCCCCACCTCCTAATACCATCACCTTGGGCATTAGGTTTTCATCATATAACTTGGGGAGTATACAAACATTCAAACTATAGCACGTGGGTTCAAGTTTCTACTCTGCCTGTAACTCATGGTGTGGACAGGTCACCTCACCTCTGTGGACCTCAGTGTCCTCATCTGTAAAAGATTGGGCTTAGTCGTCTCCAGGCTCTTTCCAACCTCTAGAAAACGGGACTCCCCAGTCGGTTTCTGCTGGGTCTTACTCATTGCCTCTGCAAGTTCCAGATTACCTATTTAGAAATACATTTATGGAGGCACCATATAAGGAGCTTGAGGGGCTCCCCAAAAGTGGAGCTAGACCAGGGCTGGGAAGGGTTAGAAAAACAGATGTGTCTATGAAGAGTGGGGATGAGTGGTACTTGCTGGAATATGAGTGTAAACTGAAGGTGACAAAATCATATGGTTCAACAAGTATTTATGGAGTGCCTACTCTGTGGTGGGTATAAGACCATTATAAAGGTTTTAGTGATTTCAGTAGGAGTCAGGTTACATTTTAGAGTGAAACAGGCCACTTCAGAGTGCTAACACCATTAAGTTCTGACCAGCCACCAAACCCTGTGAAAACCAATGTGCCCACTTTAAGGAGGTGGTTTGACCCTTCCAGGGTCAAGCTGCATCACTGCAAGCTTGAAATGATGGAGTGAGGCAGACTTAGAGCCGATGTGCCTTCCAGGACAGGTAGGAGTTCCAGATAACGGCAACACACTGGACGACAGCCAACCTAAGGAGCAGGGATGGCACCGTGAGGAAGAAGCAGAACAAGGACAAGCAAGCGGGGAGAGATGGGAAAGTACAGTGGGATAAGGGGGATTATTTCCAAGAATGCCCATATTTAGCTCTCCTTCCTTCAGCCCCCACGGAGGGATGTGTGGCTCAGACGGGAGGAAAACCAGCTTGGGTTCTGGTGCCAGCCCAGAGCTCTGTCTCCTGGACAAAAGCTCCAAAGTTAACTCCCCCTCAGCCGCCATCTCGCCATGCATGGCTCCATTATTCGTACTCCTGTCCAGGCTCCTTCTAAATACACATCTGTCCGTCTTGTACAGCTGAGATCTCATCTTCAGAAAAATGTGCTGCCTGCAATATAAAGTAGCACCTCCTTCTCTTTATTTTAAATATACCTTGCTCTAGTTTCAAAGAGCACTGCAAGGACGCTGAAGTTTCATTTAGTTCATAAGTCTATACTCCTTTTACCTATGCTACTCATGTCCATTTTGAGCCTGTCCCCTCTGAAGAGTTTCACGTTTTTCCCTGTTCCCAAAGCCCCCACACCTCCAATAATTTTAACCACTCATCTTGGTTCCACTATACATTTTTACTGAGATTTCAGCAACTACCTTTATTATCTAGGATAAAATAATATTTTGCAGTGGACTAACCTGACCACGTTCCTACTTGTCTCTTTGGTCTACCTTTCTGCCTAACCTAGGCTGTAGCCCTGCCCCTGCAGACATGCCATCAAAGGTAGAGAGCCCAGGTGGGATGCAGACAAGGACAGTGGAGCAAGACGCTCCCTAGGAAGATGAAAGAAGTCAGCGGGCAGACACTCTGGGATGCTCTGTAATAAAATGCTCAGGAGTCTGAGGAGCTCTGACCAGGGCAGAGTGTTCTGGGGGGGTCTAAGGTAGTTCAAGGTTAAAATGAGAATCACTTTGTCTCCAACCGTTCATAATGTGCCTCTTCCTTGAAGGGTGGGGTGGGGATCTGTCATACCTGTAACGAAGAGGGACCAGGTAGAAGTTGGCTAACTGCACAGCAGGCCAGAGCTACAACAGAGAGAAGGTAAAGGTTGGTGGGCTGCCTCCATCACCTGACCCCAGACTCCCTGCCTTGCCTGGTCTGACTCCAGCTTCTACAGACAAGTATACGTTGCACAACTGGGTGAGTGCTTCCCTGAGTATGGTGCCCATGTGGGAATGAGAGAGTAATCCCAACTGAGGGATTTCTGTGTCGAGGACCCCCAGTCCCTGGCACTTCTGGACTCAAGAAAGAAGAAGAGGCAGCTGGGGTGTCAGCTCTTACGTAGTAGTTGGTGATGAGAGCATCAGGATAATCCTGAGGAGACAAGAGAAGGAACAAGTGAACATTTGCATTTCCAGGCAGCTCAGACCTCCTGATCTGAGTATCACATAGAGACTTCCGTTCAGAGAAGACACCCCCGCACCACTGCCCCTCAGCTCCTCTCCTCCAGAGCTGGGGCTCTGCCTGCACTTCCACCCTTCCCGTCCCCATGAAGCCTGCCTCATTCTCCTGGGCCTGCCGGCCTGCCATCCAGAAAGCATCCCCACATCTGCCCAGCTCACCTGCTGGAGTTTGGCCCAATTGTCCTGGGCTGACAGTCCATTGAGTGTCCCTACCAGTGAGAGGAAACAGCCCAGAAAACATGGGGCAAAGCCCCCCTAGGGAAGAGAAATTAAAGCACTGTGAGAACCTAAACCCCTGCCCTCCCTTGACACAGCTCACCCTCCCCAACTCCCTTTTCCTTGTGCTCACCTGATCCAACAGCATCTTCTTTAGTGCATCCACCTTGGTGGTGCCAGGGATGAGCCGGTCCAAAACCTTGTACCAGCCTCCTACTACAGGGCCCTGAAAGTAACCCCCAAAGAAGGGAGCAGGGATGCAGAGGGGAGCATTAGGCCTTTACATCACAAAGCTCCTCCCCCGCATATTAGAAACCAAACCCCAGGGGGAGCAGACACTCAAGGCTGGCTTAGATGTGAGAGGGTCCAAGGGAAACTAAAGGATGACAGGGAACTGAAACCACTGTCCAATCCACTGGCAGCCCTGCTGTGGGCAGAACTTACCACAAAGCCACAGCCCAGGGAGACCATGGTCAGGGTCCGGCCAGTCTTGTGTGCCTGCAGACCTCGCCTCTCCACCAGCTGCTGTGAGATAACATCACCCAGGCCCATCAGAGACCCTGTGCAGGGTACACAGGTGTTGTCAGGACACCTCCCAGGGACAAGCTGCCATCCCAAGGAGGGAGGTAAGTCTGCTCACTGAATGAGGCTCTGGCACTCTGAGGCCAGGGGTTTCATTCTGGGGCAAATGGCCAGTCTTTCCTGCTGCTTCAAGGATGGTAACACCTCCCCAAGGATGGTGATATTTCATACGTGTCCTGTTAGAAACTGGGATGAGCAGCCTTGAGCAGGCCAGGGCCCAAGAACACTGCACTGAGCAGTGAAGGAAAGTTGGACTCAGAAACTGCAGGTAGGGGAAGGAGAATCTGAGGTGCCAGGAGCTGAGACGCACTGACTGTTGGAATTGGAAAGGCCTTCCAGATGTTTTCGTGCAAGCCCCTTACTCTAGAGTTATGGATGGAAATGAAGGTCTGAGACTTCACATAGCCAGTAAGTGGTAGAGCCAAGGCCAAGAACCAGGTGGCTTGATTTCCTAGACAGTGTTCTTTCCAGGACGCCTTACTATGAATAGATCATGTGCAGAACGCTAAGGAATCCTGGGGTTGTTTTCCCCCCCAGCCGAAGGCAAGGCCCTGGTCAACGTCCTTCACCTTGGTTTTGGGATCTCTGTTTGTGGAGAACAGCAAGAATAACTCTAAAACGTAAGTGTTCAAATGGTCCCAGGCAGCAGGATGACTGGCTAAGCTGGTAAGAGTCCCTGCAAGGAAGGATCCTGTCACCTCCCAGCACAGTCAGGTACACCCAGACTTCCCATTCACAGCCTCATACTGAAATTAAGGCCATTTCTCCCCAGGTCTTTCCACCCGCTTCCCCTCCCCTCATTTGCACAGACACCCAGCTCCAAGCAGCACTAGTAGGACACCCACACCCAGAAACCAAGACAGAAACCATCACTGTTTGGGCTTCCCTGGCTGGTGGCACAGTGGTTAAGAATCTGCCTGCCAATGCAGGGGACACAGGTTCGAGCCCTGGTCCGGGAAGATCCCACATGCCGCGGAGCAACTAAGCCCGTGCGCCACAACTACTGAGCCTGCGCTCTAGAGCCCACGAGCCACAACTACCGAGCCTGCGCTCTAGAGCCCGCGTGCCTAGAGCCCGTGCTCCGCAACAAGAGAAGCCACTGCGATGAGAAGCCTGCGCACCGCAATGAAGAGTAGCCCCTGCTCGCCGCAACTAGAGGAAGCCCGCGTGCAGCAACTAAGACCCAACGCAGCCAAAAAAAAAAAAAAAAACACAAAGAAACCATCACTGTTTACAGAGCCCCCGTCAGTGATGGTGGTGTGATGGTTTCTAGCAAACACACACTTCTACTAGGGCCACTTGGGAGTGACCGTATGACCTTCAGCTTGCCTGTCCATCACAGTGAGTAATGAGAGTCCCCTCCAGCCCCATAGCCACCACTGTCCCTGTGCCCTCAATTAGCACTGGGCAAACACATCCTCATCCTTGGCCCGGAGCTGGCTCTGACGTCCGTGCTGGCTGCACACTCATTGCTCTTCGCCCGCACCCCTGCACAGCCCTGCCCCTGTGCAGCCTCGTCAGAGGCAGCTGAGTAAGGCTGAGAGCTGGGGTCGGGCTGGGGCACCCACAGGTGACCTAGGCTGCTGGCCTCAGCTGCTGGGACCCCCAGCACACCCACCAAGGGAGCCCTGCCTCTCCTCTCCCTGAAACTCCCAAAGTGGTGGAGGCCCTTCCCAGAACATGGCTAGACACGGCCTCCCAGAGGGCAAGGACAGAATCCTAGACGTCTTTGTTCTCTCATCCCCCACCATACCTAGCCTGGCAGGTGCTCGGAAAATAAACTGGGAGAAGTGTCAGAGGTACCACCCAGACAACAAGACTGCCCTGGGAAGGGCACAGAGGACGCCAAGAGTAGCCCAAAGGATGCATCCAGGCTCAAGGTGTGAGGAGCAGTGGGGCTGAAGGCTCACTCCTCCTCCACAGTTGGCACTGAACACCCTATCCCCTCTCCCTAACAACTTGGGGTCACCAGCTGCGTGCCCAGGGAGGGGAGGGAGCTGTTGCGGCCATGCATAAGGGAAGAGTGACCCTGACAAGGCCTGGGGAAGGGGGAACAGAAAGACAGTCACTGCTTAAATGAAGGGACTAACAGTTTGAGATCTGGCAAGATGTTTACAGTATACAAAAGGGCTCTCATACATTTAATCCTCACAAAAGGTCTGGAAGGTAGAGGTCACACCTCCATTTAATGTCTTTGAGAGATGAGGTGACTTGGTAAGGAGTGGAGCCTGAAACCAGGCCTTCTCTCAAGGGGGTACAGGAGGCCAGGGAATCCCCAGCAGAGGCTGAGACCTGGGCTCAGGGGCCAGTGGGCACCAAGAGGCTCCTGTGGCTGCTACTCACGGGGGTGGGGGTGGGGTATTCCTGCCCAAACAAGGCCCCAAAGGCCCGCATATCAAAGACACTTCCTGGACTAACACACTTCCTCTCTTTCACTCCCCAGAATGTGACCACCTCTGTTCCTTGTCACCTTGTGGGGAGGGCAAGCAGCAATATTCTTGGGAAGGAACCAGTCACAAGGAGAGGGGTGTTTTCACTCTTCATGGCTTACCAACAGTCACACACAAGCTAAAGGCAGAGCAGGAGTGAAAAGCAAAGTCCCTGACGTGTAGTCCCACAGTCCTGGAAGCCTGCAGCCTTTGAGAAAGATGGATTCCAGGCCCCAAACCATGCCTATCAGGCCTGAGAGACAACTAAGCAGCAGGAGTGAGTAGGTGGTGTGTAGCCTGTAGCCCTGCCAGTTCTGTCCATTTCAGACAGAACCATGCCCAGTTCCTCCTCTGGAGGAACACAGATCATCAGGCCCTGTGGGCCTGCAGCAGCTCCAGGGAGCTCTAAGGCTTTGGTCTAAGCACAGAGCGAGGCTTTTTGGTCAGAGTGATTGAGCAGGAAGGGCCGACATCCAGATTCCTCATCCCACCTTCCCCAACCCAGAGCCCAAACAGACCCCAACCACCCTAGGCTCTGGGAGTCCTCTTGGACATATTTGGTTGACCTGGACCCTCCAGTGCTCTGGCTCCCCTTTCCTTGGACTTGTTTCCAGGGTGTTGGGACTACAGGCCTGCCGAGACATAATGCCTGAGCCCTGATGGAGCAGGACAAGGGGCTGCCGGGAGGTGATGCCCCAATGCCAGGCTGGGCGCAGAGCCCAGCGGGCAGACGCTGGTGTGGGTGTGACATCATGCCCCTGGGTAGGTGCCAGTTCTCATGCCGTCACTCGCCACCAGATTCAGCAGAGTGGGGCGGGGGGTAAGGCTTGGGGAGTGCCTGCATCTGAGCACAGATCTATTTGGGACCACCTTCTGCCCGCTAGTGGAAAAGCCCCAACTTCCATGCCCTCATCCTCGGCATGGGTGGGGGTAAGTTCTCTACTTCCTCTATTTTGTTCCTCTCCCGGCTTTTGTGTGTCGAGTCTTAGATGCAAGAAACCAAAGTATTAATGGAAGATGAGAAAACTGAGGGGCAGGAAGTTGGAATGAGGAGCAGGAAACTGTCCTTGACTATGGGAGGCCTGGGTCGGCAGGTGTAGCTGCTGGTAGGGGGCCAGGGTGCTGTCTCATTCCTCTCCAGAAGTCTCCAATAATTAAATAGCTGCCTGGGGTAGGGGCTTGGTCTGGCAGAGCGTGGAGGGAGCTGAAGCCCAGCAGTGACAGGGGAGCACCTCCTCTGGGATCCGTGGGAGTGCTCTCCCCACTCCTGGCCTGAACCCTTCCCACTGCTAGAAAGTAAGACAAAATGGAGGGTTCTGCAGCTTGTCAGGTACCTAAGCCCAGACCAGCTGGAACTATACTCAGCATTCTGAGGTCCCAGGTGTCTCAATTGCAGGGCAGTGCATTGGGAAGTGCCCCAGGTTCTAATGCCAGCTCCACCACTGACCATGAAACCTCATGCATATCACTCCTCCCTCGTGCCTCAGTTTCCTTCCCTGTAGTATCAGGGACTGGACTGGATGGTCTCTAATGCCTGTTGAGCTCTCACATTCAGACTGCAGGGAAACCAGTGTCTGCAGAAGCTCAGCTGCTTCCACAGCAGGACCAGAGTGGCCTAAGATGGATGGAACTGGGCCCCCTGGAGACTGGAAGAGCCCTCAAGAAAGGATGGGAGAAGGCTGACTTAGAATCTGCAGAACACACAGCAGACCTTTGCCCAGGCTGCCCTGTTCCTGACTCTGGCTTGGCCCAAAATGGGTGTACCAGACACTTCTTTTGAACCATATCAGATCTTTTTGATTCACTTATCTCTTACTCCAGCCACCACTGCAGTTCAGCTGATGGGTCCTTGTCTCAGGCCTATGCCTTACCTGAGGCTGAGCTACTGATGCTTTACCTGGGGATGATGCCTGTGCAACCTGGTAGAGCACAGAGCATGGGCATCAACATCTCATATGGCAAACCTTTGACCAATGTGGGATGGAGCCGGTGGGTAAAGGTTTCTCCTTTTCTCCAGAAAAGACTATTCACCCTTAAAGTTCTAAGAGGCATTTCAAAGAGCTTCTCAGTCAGTTTTAAGGGACTGAGCAGCCATGTGCCCTAAGCAGTGTCCATTTGATAACGCATCCTTCTATTGGCTGTTCCTCTTCCCTCTCTCCCCACCATGGGATTACTTCCTAACAAAGTACCTGCAAAGAAGCTTCAGACTCTACTTTTTGGAGAACCGAGGCTAGATGGTTATCCATGTTCCAAATTGACGGCAAGTGGAACAAACCCAACCCAAACACCACTATAAAAATAAGAGCTTGTTGTTCTTGGGTTGCCAACACTCATATAAAGGGCCAACTCCTGGAGCCTTTAAGTTTCTTGAGCATTTTCTGATTTCTAAAGCCTTTTCAGAGATAATCCCTACACTGACTCTGTGAGGTCATATAACTAAACTCAAATTCTAAACGAGGAAACTGAGGCTCAAAGAGGTTTATTTTCTTGTCCTGATTCACACAGCTACTAAGTGCTATGGCTCTGAGATTCAAACCCTGGTCTTCTAACTCCAAGTCTGAAATCTCTATTCTGTTTTCCAGTGTGATGAGCTATGCCATGGGACCTTAGGAACTACTGTGCTGGGATCTAAAAACAGCTCAGTGAGCTAAATCCACTTCCTCCCTTTATTTGTAGTTTGATTCGAGTACACTGAGCAGCAGGGAAGGAAAAGTCTGAAAGGTCTGGGAAAGTCTAAGAAAAGTGCTACCTAGAGGTTGCTTCAGGGCTGAGATACTGGCACAGCCTCAGGAAGACTCGGGGTGTGGAGCCACAGGGCTCCAGCACTGACAGCCCAGCACCCCAGTTCAGCTACATATCTGCACTTGGACCCCTTGGAGCTCTAGCTCCTGCCTTCATCAGCTGCAGATCCCTTGGGTAAGGAAACACAAGGACCATCCTTCCCTCCCTATTCTTGATGGCCACAAAGGGGAGAGGGGGAAACTTCCTTCTGGCAGTTAGGGTCCCTGAGGGAATCTGAGGCTGGGCAAAGGGCCCAGCGTGTCAGTTCCCATCACAGCCACCCAGTACAGCATGAGTCACCACACACGCAGCCAGGTGAGTCATGCAGGCTGACGGACACTCTGAGGACAGGATGGGGGATAGCTGGGCACAGGAGGCTGGAGAGGGGCGCAGGGAGGAGCAAAAGACTCCTTGGCCAGTCACTCAATGAAGTTCCTAGTGCTGATGTGGGGCTATTCCAGTAACAGGAATTCTGTTGTATTCTGGCTTTCAGTAGCAACCCCAGCCCCCCACCCCTTTTTAACAGTCTTCCTCTCAGAAGCCCACGGTCCTCATTAGAATCCTGTTCCCTTCCTCTAAACATAGGCAAGACCTTATCTTAACCGGTCACCCTCGCACTGCCCCAATAGTCACAGGCCTTTCAATCCTTCCCCCTATAAAATTTATCTCTGTGCCATCTCCTCTCATATTAGCTAGTCTGCAAAATGAGATGAAAATAAATACAGGTAAGTCACTGGGTTACCTTTGTGAGGTCGTTACTCAATCACTGGATTTAGAGTAAAAATAAATCCTTGATTAGTATATTGTTTGAGGATACATCCATAGATAGTAAACTATAAGAAAAGCAAAAGAATGATATAAACAAAACTCAGGAAAGTGGTTATTTCTTAGGATGTATGAATTAGAGACAGGCATTCCAGGGGTACTGGAAGCTGGGTACTGATACAGGAGTATTCAGTTTACTTTTATTTCAATGGTACACACATATCTTAATCATTTTTTTGTGTATTAAGATATATTTCACAATAAGAACAATACTAAGAAAAATAAACTGGAGTAAGAGTCTGATTCCAGCACTTATTAGGTGTGTGATCTAATGTGGACCCAAGTAATCTTAGCCCACTTTGTGTCCCCACCTTTGTGGGGACCCTATGAGATAATGTGTGCTGAAAGTGTTATGCACACTGTGAAATGTTAAAGGAGCCTTTGTTATTGTTCATTTTCTAAGTTAAGGCCTCCTCGGGGCAATGCCTTTCTTCATCCTAAGGGGATGACTCCTCAGGTTTGTGAGGACTTTCAGATGCTACTTTATAGCCAGGTCATCTATGCATACCCCTTTCCTTAAGAACAGCCTTGGGGACCCTCCCTCCAAAACAGACTGGGGTGAGAGCCAATCCTTCAAGGGGTCTGAATAAAAGCAAAAAGTGATGGCGGGGGTGCAGCGAGCTTCTGCCTCCCAGATCAGCCTGCGCTGGTACCACTAGGTCCCACAGGGACACTTACCAGCTGTCAGGACCTGTACTTTCCACGGGTGAGCAGTCAGAGCCCGCTGGTATGCCCGCCAAAGTGCCATGCTTTCTGTCAAGGCGAGAGGAGAGGGGGGTCACCCCCACTGCCCCTCTCCACAGTTAAAGAGACTTTTGTCCTTCCCTTGTGCCCACTCCCTCTTCCCCTCCCGCTTCTAAATGGGCAGAGGCTTCCTGGACAGCTTCCTGTCACAGGGATCGCCTTAGGGAATCGGTGAAGAGAGGAAGGCTGTGGGGCGGCTATGGAATATCGGTGGCCGCCACCCGCCACCCCACCCCCAGCCCTGAAGCAGGTCTATCTTTCACCCAGAGCCTGGTCGGTCCCCAGATTCAGACTCTCAGTTGGAACCACCCCGCATCCTTCCTGAGCCCAATCCACCCCAGAAAAACGGCTTCTGACTCCCTGGGCCTGGAACGCTCACACACGTTGCTACCGCTACGGGATCGCTGCACTTTGAGCCGGTGACCGCGGAACTCTCGCTACCCACCAGCGCGCGAGCTCAGCCCCTCCCACGTGACCTGAGCGGCGGCGGGACTTCCGCCCCAAATCCCGTCCCTTCCGCTTGGCTGACCGCTAGGCTTTCCCGTGCATCCAGGGCCGGAATGGGAGTGGATTCAGCCACTAATACCGCGGAGAGGGGCTCGGCTCGGTCTGCGCTGAGTCTTGGTGCGGGGCCCGCCTTCCCACCTGGGTGCGACCTCTGTCTGCTTCTGCCCCTTCTCTCCCTGCTGCACGGGCCTCTTAACCTGGATAGACTCTCACTGTTCCCGCGTCCCGGAACTGGCCAAGGTCCAGACGTCGTTCTCGGTCTCAGGAACCATAGTTTGGAAACTATAAGCCATAGTTAAATGCGCGCGTGTGTGTTACTTTTTAAAAAAAAAAAATGTCTGTAAGTTCTTCACTAGCCTCAACTGTGAGCTCCTGAATGGGTGGAACTGGGTCTTGTTCATATTTGTCGTCCTCATAGCAACTAGTTCAATGCTTTGTGCACAGTAGCCTTTAGAAATGCTGCGTAAAGATGACTGCTCCATGGAAATAATTCGGATTACAGAACCTCTAGTTTAGATACTGGTTTCATAACTAGCGGGTTTGCAGCCTTGGTCATCAGTAGACTTGAAGTTCCTCATCTGTGAAATTAGGGGGTTGGACTCTGTTTTTCAAACTGGGCTCCTCAGTTTTAGGGCTTTATAGATGTTTGGGGAAGGGGTATCACAGGTTCTTCTTTACCTAAGCTTTTAAAAAATACACGTATACTTCTAGAAAAAGCCACATTTAAACAAGGGCCCACAACTAAAACTGTTAGGAAACCAATAGATGAGGTGATTTCCTAATCCCTTTCCAGCTCTAACATTCTAAAATTTTGTGAATATACTGCAACATCCTTTCTAGGGTAGTGGAAACATTCACAAGGCTGACAGCCTTTGCTTAATCATCCCTAGGGAGCTCACACTTCAGGAGGCAACCATATCTGACTCTTTCAGGGTCTTTACCTGGTTAGCTCCAGCCCCAATTTACTCAATTCCTATATGATTAAGGCAGGGAGAATCCTGTAACAGATAACTGGAGAAACACAGTAAGGAGGCAAGAGAATTCGATGTCACAAACATTTAACTAAAGCTTTCTATATGCAAAACACCATGCTAGAGGAGTGAATTTACACTAGTAATAGGAGAGAGACCAAATGTGCTAAGTTGGAAAGTCAGACTGTCTACCACCACTCAGTAGTTATGTGACCTTATTCAGACTGCTTAACCTCTCAGAATCTTATCTTTGTCAAGTAAAATGGGGCAATACCAACCTCATAGGGTTAAATTAAGTAGCATATGCTAAAGTACTTGAAATAGATCAAGTGCCTAATAAACTCTCATTTAACCTCTTTTCCTTCCTTTTCTCTTGGGAGCGCATGGGAGAATAATTTTTACTGGAGAAATCTGGGAAGCCCCTTGGTGGAGGTGGAATTTGAGCCGGGGCCTTGAACAATGAATAGGACTTAGGTGGAGATGGTGGAAAAGGACACTGCAGGAGGAGGGAATAGTGTGAGCAAAGGCACAAAGGAAGAAAAGTACAGGAACCTATGGATAGTATCAAGTATATATCAGGAGGAAAGTTTGGAAGGGGAGTGGCCTGGGGCAAAAAGGGATTATGGCAGAGAAAGAGAGCAAGGGCTGAAAGCATTTTCCTGCTTTTCTTTTGGAGGATGAGATTAGGGCAGAGACCCAGCAGCAGGAGCAGAGCTGCCAACACCAACCTACAGCCTCAATGACATGGGTCCCCAGGCCCCATCTTTTCTACCACTGAAAGTGGGATTTCCTGAGGCAGTGTCAAAGGACTGTTGTGTAGAATGAACAAAGCTCCTCTGCAATGGAAAGCACTTCCCTACCAGTCATCTCAAAAAGAAAACTGGCATAACCTGAGCTGGCACAATAGGATGGTGCATACTTGGCTGCTGTGCATTGACGTGAGTTGTGGTCTCTCTGCTGCTAATGGTCTGGGTTGCCTCCAAATCTGTTTCCTCTTCTGTACAGGGGAGGAACTGAACTACTTGATTCCTTTCCTCTTAGAGATTTTCTCACATAATGCTAAATCCCCTACACTGAAGAAGCAGAAAGCTGTTCCCAGATATTTGGCCAATCAGTCTACAGTGTCAAAGTGTTCTGTTCCAGGTAGGCACTGAACTAATCTCCACTCCCTTAAAGAGGAGCTGGCTATGTGTTTTTCTCTATTTCCTGAAGTCACTGACTACTCCCTGCCCCAAACCTCAGGTTGTACTCTTATACATTCCAAGACTGTGGTTTGCTTATTTCTCCTTGTGGGCTCTATCCTTGCTTAAGAGGCAGTATTGCAGTCACTGTGAGTCTGCAACATCCCACAAGAGGATTCTAACAAGATGAGCTATAATACACTACTGTGCTTGGGTTTGAAATACCTCCTATAGAGTTGAAATAAAGTAGCTAAATATGTTTAATAAGTCAACAATGTGACAGTATAATGAAGGATCAAAAATCATGACGTGTAAAAGAATGGTTAAAGTAACTGAAGATATTTAATCTAGAGAAGAAAAGACTTGGGAAACACATGATAGCTATTTTTAAATACTTAGAAGGGCAGTCATAGGGAAGAGTGACTAGATTTCCTAACACCCATGGTAAAATTTATAGAGGTATACTGTTTGACTTGATATAAAGGAAGATTTTTTAAAAATGACTGTCTAGGAGTGCTCAAGAAGGGTCAGATGACCAGTGATTGGGAATGTTTCATAAGCAGGAGCAAGTAAGATCTGAGCCACTGTTCTGTTGGCAGGGTGTCTGTGGTGTGTTCCTCAGTTAAGTAAGTACTATAAGCAGCTTCAGTGCAATGAATTACAATCACCCCCTTGTGGGCCTGTGTGTTGGGTACTCTAAAGAGGAAGTTAGGAAGGCAGTAATATTGGATCCTGGAATATAGTCAGACAGGAGCCTTCATGCAGATACCCTTTCCAGTTCTCCAAATACCCACTCACATGTGGTCTCAAAAACACCCAGTACCTTTACTTAGTTTTACCCACTTCACAATATGCTCAATATGAGCAATTTGACCCCCAAGCCTAGGTCAGGCCTGAGTGTTTCTCGTGAGTCATAGTTTTATGCTGAGGAGACTTGAGAGTTTGTGGAGGGAGAATCCCCTTGCCCGCGGGGGGCCGTGATGACAGAAGAAGTCTGTGGAAAGAGGGATCTAAGGAGTCCTGGGGAGGCAGGTCTAAAGGTCCAGGCCTGGCAGCATCACTGTCCAGGAAAGCCCCAGTTCCTATGGCTGTGTGCACGGGGCCAATTGTTCTCGGCAGACTTCATCCTGAGTGTTCTGTGGGGACCACGACTAGGGACCAGGCAGAAGGCGATGGCTGGTTGGAGGGAAGCCAGGCCCTTTAGTGGGGGAGGCCGGCTGGAACATAGCATTGAAGTGGGCTCGGCTTTCAAGCTGCATACGGTGGCCCAGTGGACAGGTGAGCGCACGGACAAAATGGATCCGAACCAGCCCTGACTGCCCCCCAGAGACCAGCCATCCATAGGAGTCCAGGTTTGGGCTGAAACGTACCTGTGAAGAGAATAGAAAACAAAAGAGATGCTCACAGTTGTTGCTGTAGGGTGAGTCTTAGCTCTAAGAGCAAAAAAAAAAAAAAAAAAAGAGCCACAAATCTGAAAGGATAGGAGGACCACGATAGGGTGAGAGGTAGGAATGAGAAGACGAGGAATGACGTATGTCTATCATGCTCTGGAGGATAAGAGTGCCGGAGCTGTTTCCCCTGCCTTAACCATCTCCATTACCTTTTCATCTCCCATTTCATTGCTCACAGGCCCAGAGTTGGGAGGAAATGAGATGAAGGATGGCAAAGATGAGAGATAAGGTTCCTACCTTATGAATAGCTTCCAGCTGCAGCCGGTCCAGGCAGAGCCGTGTTTGCCCCTCTCCCTCCTGCATGCGCAGCATTGGTTCTCTGTGGGGCAGACCATGGAATGAACTCTGGGGAGGAGGGTGTAATAGGAGAGAGAAAGAGAGCAGCTTCTTAGTTTTGCATCTTTCTGCTGGAACTTCTTAGGATTCCCTACTATACAAGGACTCAAGTTTTTTACTTTTTCTAATGCCACACCCATTCTCCTGGCCTCAATTTACCAAATCTGTGTCTTGAAAGAGCAAGTAGTGATGGTTGACGGTTTCAGCGTAAGTTCGAGCCTTGGGAGGGTTGGGGGCCCCGGATGAAGCAGAAGAGTGGTCCTGACCTTCAGGACTGTCCTGATATGGCATCAGATCTGCTTTATATATAGGCTAGAAAGAAGAATGTTAGATTAGGTTCTATAATACTGAAGACTGAATAAAAGTAAAAGAGAAAATTGGTTTGGAGCAGGAAAGACTGTAAGTAGTATGTTTAAACATATGTTCAGATGCACGAGGGTAGGGGAGATTATGTACACCTCTATTCTAGGACTTCCAGGGAGAATATCAGGGCTGGGAGATCTAGTACTAATTTGTACTCTGCTAATTGGTAGCACTAATTTGAGAGGTCATGTGGATTAGGACCCAACAGATAGTGCTGCTATTAAATATTCATATACGTACGAATCTTCGATCTACAGGTCGTTTGACATTTATTGGGTTCAGTGCCATATCAGGCAATATAGCTGCAATGAGCTCCCCAGATATATCTCCTGCAGCTATTGTCCCGAGCCAGTCGGATCCTGAAAGACTCTAATAGGAAGAGAGAGATATTTTTCATTCATTCATTCACTCATATTTATTCAGTTCTCTGAACTGGTAACAACTTCACAGTCTGAGGGGGGAGAGACATTCGCACAAACAAATATGGGTTTATCATAACCCATATCCCTGAAGATACAATTACCACACACCTGTCTTCTCCTTTTATCCAAAACTACTGCCTCTGGGACTCCCCCAGTGGTCCAGTGGTAAAGAATCCGCCTTCCAATGCAGGGGACGCGGGTTCGATCTCTGGTCAGGGAACTAAGATCCCACATGGCGCGGGGCAACTAAGCCAACGTGCGCCACAACTACTGAGCTCGCGCACCTCAACTAGAGCTCATGTGCCCTGGAGCCTGCACACCACAACTAGAGAAGAGAAAACCCACACGCCACAACTAGAGAGAAGCCCACGCGTCGCAACGAAAAAGATCCCGCGTGCCTCAGTGAAGATCCTGCGTGTCGCAACTAAGACCCTACGCAGCCAGAAAGAATAAAACAAATTTTAAAATATTAAAACAAAACCAACCAACCAAAAAACCCACTACTGCCTCTTTCTGACCACCACTAGGTGAGTAAAGGGAACGTTTCCCTGTGTAATGAAGGTTTGGAAGAGAGGGGCTCACCCAGACAGTGCCTTTTCGAGGAGCAGTGAAGTAGGCCTTGAAACCAAGGTAACCAGCATCAATATAATGAATTCCACAGAGTCCATAACTGTAAGAGAAAGAGAAAAGAAAACCTTCCTTTTTCTAAGGTTAGATTCATTTCTTCCCCCACAATTCAAACTCTCTCAGTGAAACAACCCTCAACCCTCCTCTCCCCACAACCATCTGGCACAGTGCACCCCAACCCTTAGGGCCTGTCCCCAGAGCTCCTCCTCTCTCCATCCTGCCGTACGAGGCATAGCAGTTGTCCTGAGCCACAGTGACACCATTGTAAGGGAGCAGCCAGGCCAGCTCTGTACTCAAGAAGCGCTTGATAGAGTTTATTGGTTCATAAGGTCGTCGAAGGTCCCAGAATTTGATTTTCCGGTCACTCCCTGCAGAGACTAGGAAATGACTGTGGAAAGATGGGAGAAGAGGGAGAGGATCAAATCTGAACAAGCCTGGAAGAGTCAGCCTGTCCCAGTCTTCACCTCCCACCTCCACAACTCTCCTATTTTATACCTGTTAGCTTTGCACCATTGAAGGGTACGCACAGCCTGGTCATGGGCTAGGAAACACTGGAAGGGGTAGAGCTTCAAGGAGCCATCAGAGAGCCGTATCCGCTGCAGAGGCGAGTTCGTAGGAAGGTTCCAGAAAACCACCATGCCTGAGGTAGGGATAGAATGCATAGGTATTAGAGCCAGGTTCTCCCTTCTTGTTCTAATTCCTTTCTCTGGCTCCTAGGGTCTATGTCTTCTACTCTCAGACCTGATGCCTTATGAAAGGCTGTAGAGATCATGATTAGCTAGTCAACATTCCCTCCACGGTTTAAAGACTCAACCTGATATTTTTAGTTCCAATTCTCATCAACATAAAAGCAATAGCTTAGTCTGAGATCTGCAGTTGAAGATAGGTTGAATGAACCCAGTGTCCTCTACTCCCTACTAAATAAAAATAAAGGGATTTTTAAAAAAGTATAAACCTTCCAGGACAAGGGTTGGCAAACTACAGCCCATGGGCCAAATACAGCTTGCTGCCTATTTTGGTAAATAAGTTTGACTGGAACACAACCACACCCATTTGCTTACCTAAGGTCTGTGGCTGCTTTCACTTTATAATGGCAGAGTTGAATAGTTCCAACAATGGCCAAACAACCCACAAAGCATAAAATATTCACTATCTGAACCTTAAGAGAAATGTTTGCCAACTCTGCTCTAAGGCAAAGAGAACAGGCAAGGAGCCAAAAGCAACAAAGTGTAGAGGAATAGAAAACAAATGGACAAATAGAAACTAACTCAGCTGATCTAAAACAAGCTGACCCCTGACCAGGCTGGCAGAGGACGAAGTAATCAAGAGTGTAACTTTGATAAAAGTGAAAGACAAATTAAAGAACAATAAGAATTTAATAAACAAAACGGGGGGGGGGGGGGAACCGGGACTTCCCTGGTGGCGCAGTGGTTACGAATCTGCCTGCCAACACAGGGGACACGGGTTCGAGCCCTGGTCTGGGAAGATCCCACATGCTGCGGAACAATGAAGCCCATGCGCCACAACTACTGAGCCTGTGCTCTAGAGCCCGTGAGCCACAACTACTGAGCCCACATGCCTAGAGCCCGTGCTCCACAATAAGAGAAGCCACCACAATGAGAAGCCCGCGCACCGTAACAGAGTAGCCCCCGCTCGCCGCAACTAGAGAAAGCCCGCGCACAGCAACGAAGACCCAACACAGCCAATAATTAATTAATTAATTAATTAAAAAAAAAAAGTTGGGGGAAGCATGTGAAGCTAAAACCCCTTTTATACATAAACTCAGGAAATGTAGCATCTATGAGCCTTTTTGAAAAAACTTGACAGTGAATTACAGCTAAGCAATATAAGTAATTCAGCAATGGAGGGGGAGACCAAGATGAAAGGACTGGTGGAGACAGGCAATCATTTTCAATATAGAGTTAAGATTAAGTAACTCTGGGAATTAAGATAGCAAAACAGCACTGAGTATCACATACCTTGACAGTGTAAGAACAAGACCACCAAAAGAAACACAATTAGAAGACTGAGAAGGATGACAGGAAGCAGTGTACGTACGAGTGCTAATTCCCTTATCACCCTAGCAGAAGTCTGCTGGTGTGTCTAAAAGTGAAACTGTCATTTAAAAACAATAACAACCTAATAACGCCAACTACTTAATGTTATTTATAATTTTTTACCTTTTTCCTTTTTAATCTTAAAAGTATCTTTATGGAACTAATCTCTCTGTGGTGAAGGAACATTTATTGGGACCTTAGCTAATTTTTCAGTTTCACTTGCCTTCTCCTTCCATAAAGTTAAAGTATAATTAATACCTTTTAATTTAAAATAGTATCTAGAGTATGATCCCATTTTTACAGAATTCTTTATCTCTCCATCTAATCTTTTTATCTTTATACATGCATAGAGAGCAGCATGAAATGATGTTTATCTACTCAATTTCTTTCTGAGTAGAAAAATTCTAGTGACTTTTTTCTCTTCTTTGTATTTTTTTACACTTCATGAATAGTTGTAAGTATATAATGTCGAACACTGAATCAAAAAGGAAACAACAACAGAAAAACAAGCATATATAAAAGTTTAAAGAGCGGTAGCTCCTTATGTTCTGCTTTGCTTTTCACCATTATAATATCCAGCAGCCAGGTGGTGGTGGGGCCGGGTGGGTATCCAAGCCAGGCTAAGGCACTGACCACACTCAGAGGGGTCTGACGCTTGCATAGACCCCACCTGAAGGGTTGCCACACATTGGACCTGCAGGGACAGGAGAGACAAGGCTAGGGTTAGGGATAACTACTGTTTGGAACAAAGGCTCCAATCCTTGTTCAATCCAGCAGAAGGTGGGAGATTTTTCAGGTGGAAGGAGACTCGCTGTGGAGTCAGTAAGGGAGGCTCAAGAAGATGGAGCCTTGGCTAAGGTAGCAGGCTCCTCACTCACCTTATAGATGGCAGGCTTCACTGCATCTGTGAGGGAAGAAGAGCAGTAACTGACACTCTGCATCCAGAGGACTGAGATCCTAATTAGGCCTTGCTCTTAGACCAGCACCCCGGCCCTTTCAACCATGCCCTTCCCTCACACTCTTCTCTCTCCACCATCAAGCGTATGAACCTGCCTCTATCTGACCCCAGATTCTCCTTTCCTCCTGTTCTATATGATAGTGCCCTTCCTCCTATCAGAATGGCTAACCCCTCTACTCGGCTCTCTTCTCATCCCCTCCTTTTCCAGAGCATGGCTCATTTGGTTACCCTCCCCTTCTCCTGCCCTGTCCACTTTCTCTCTCCCTATTGGGTCACTCTCATACGCACACGTAAACATGCACTCTTGTCTTCTATCTAAATCAAATGAACAAACCAAAGCCTTCCTTTACCCATTATTCATTTTTTTTTTTTTGGCCGCGCCACACGGCATGTGGGATCTCAGTTCCCCGACCAGGGATTGAACCCACGCCCCTGCATTGGAAGCACGGAGTCTTAACCACTGGACTACCAGGAAAGTACCCCTTTACCCCTTTTTCACCTCCAGCCACCGCCCTCATTTATATGATCCCCTTCACAGCCAAACTTCTGAAAGAATTGTCTATACATTTCTGTCTTCACTTCCTCACCTCCCACTCCCTCCTCAGCACACTCCTAACACCAGACCACCGAACAGGGGATTTCTCAGGGTTCAAACCTAGGCGCCCTCTTCTTTAATTACTCAGTGCTGTTGAAAAACAAATAAATTCCACCAAATAGGAGCTGCATTTCCTGCCCCTTCCTCTTTGTGTTCACCTTCACAAAGGTGAATATAGAGGGAGAACTCTATATTCTCTCCCTCTCTTCACAACAAAGAGAGTGTGTTTACGTGTATGTGTGGTGGTGAGGGCAGGAGAGGTGGAGGACAGGATCTGGGGAGGAAGAGGAATATGGCAGGGGAGACAAGCCCCAGGCGCACACCTCAGCCTTCAGCAGCTCTTCACACAGCCAATTAACTGTGGTAGCAAGAGGGGGAAGACCTGAGAGCACAGGAGAGCAAGGAAGCGGGGGAGATAAAAGGTAATGTGCTGAAAGAGGGCAGTTACAAGACTGCAAAAGAGAGGACTGCGTGCAGGCTGCCAAAGAGAGAGGTCAAGAACAACACGTGTGAAGTCAGAATGGGAGAAGTGACTCGGTAAGGCTTTGTACTGGAGAGACTGGGCCTGGAGGAGTTTCAGGGGAGACAGACAGGCCCTGCTAAGCTCTGGCCACAACTCCAGCAGCCCCATTCTCCTTGCTGTGCTACTCACCTAGGGGCTGCTGAGCCAGCAGGGCCTCAGGATGGGGCAGACTGAACAGCAGCACCTTCCCGTCTGAGCAGGCAAGAGCCAGGAGACCCAACCGGGGCAACAGAGGAGCCTAGAGGGTGAGACCAGATCTGCACTGAGGCTTGCTGCCTTCAGGCAACACTCAGAAAACTTATCAGGTTCTGGTCCCTGAAAATATGATATGGAGTTGCTGGAAAAACACCACCCACCACTCTCTAACCTCCCTCCCTCCAACTCTGGGAAGACCCAGGGCCCCTTGGTCCTGGCTCTGAGTCCTAGGGCCATCCCACAATAAACTGGGAGGTACCTTCCGAGGGGTGCCTGGAAGTTCCCACGCTCCACTGGGGCAGAACTTGAGGTCCCAGATGCAGCCATGGTCACAAGCAATCCCATAGACAAAGTGGGCTCTGTTGCCAGGACTGAGGAGAGAAAGCATGTGGGGAGAATGGGTGGGAAGGAGGGGCCTGGAGCTGCCAGAGCCTGTGCTCCCCATGTCTCAACCCAATCCGAGCCTTGCCCCCTTCCCCTGCCCAGCCCCATCCTTCTCTCCTCCTCAACCACCCTCCAATGGCAGCGTCCCAGCCCCACCTCACCAGCTTTCTTGCTGCAAGGTCCCAAGGTCCCAGAGCTGGAGCAGCCCAGGGCCCGAATAAAGCTGGCTCAGTGGGTGTGTCTCATTCATGTCAGGGCTGGAGAAAAGAGCCACATACTGCGAGGCTGCTGCCCCCTCTGGCACTGGGCACCAGTCCAGAGCCCAGAGCGGTCCCCCCGTAAAGAAAGACACATCCCAGCGCTCTGGGTGTGCTGTGATAGAGCTAAATCTAGAGAAAAGTCAAAGATGGGATGAAAAAAGGAGTTAATAAAAGGTAGTAAGGACTTCAGTAGATGAATGGATAAATAAACTGTAATACACCCAGACAATGGAATATTATTTCACACTAAAAAGAAATGAGCCATCAAGCCATGAAAAGACATGGAGGAACCTTAGATGCACATTACTAAGTGAAAGAAGCCCACCTGAAAAGGCTATATACTGTATGATTCCAACCATAAGATATTCTGGAAAAGGTAAAACTATAGAGATAGTAAAATGATCAGTGATAACCAGAGGTGGGGGAGGTGGAGGATGAATAGGCAGAACTGAGTATCTTTAGGGCAGTGAAAATACTCTGTATGATACCATATTGATGGATACATGTCATTATACATTTGTCCAAGCCCACAGAATGTACAACACTAAGAGTGCACCCAAAGGTAAACTATGGACTTTGAGCTATTATGATGTGTCAGTGTAGGTTCATCAACTGTAACAAATGTGCCACTCTGGTGAGGGATGTTGATAATGGGGGAGGCTGTGCATGTGGGGGGCAGGGAGTATATGGGAAAAACCCTCTCAATTTTGTTGTGAACCTAAAACTGCTCTTAAAAAAGAAAAAAAAAAAAAAAGTAATGCGAACAGAATGGGAGCTCAACCTGGAGCTCCTGTGAAATGACTTAAGCAAGCACCAGAACATCAGTCACAGTCTACAAGTGAAACCAGTCCTGGCCACCATTTGTATCTTCCTCCTTTCCTTCCCAAAGTCTGTCTAGTCCTAGGCTTACTTTCAAAGATGACAGGTTGTGCATTCTGGTTTACTACAGTGTTCTCTCTAGGGCCAGTTTGTCTAGGTCTATCGGAGTAGAGTGACCTTGAAAACTGGTTTTACCCTCAACCTCCCTAGGCTCCCTCAGTCTTGCCAGCAGCGATAAGCACTGCAAATTCGAGGGGGCTGACCAGATCTAGCCAGCACTCCTACCCTTGGGACCAATTGGACCAGCATTAAGGGAAGAACAGGGCCAATCTATCATCCCTTTCAACATCCATTTTTCATTTTCCTGTCTCCCAGAATCAGAAAAAGAGGTGCAATCGTCACCTGTTTATTCGGTAGAGTGTGCCATCTTCAGGAAGTCCTTCACGTTGTACAGAAAACAGTGGCGACTTTTCCTCCTGGGGCAGGTAGTGAGCTGCCTCACTGGGGGAGGGCAAAGGGAATAGCCTAAGTTTGGAAGAGTTTCATCCATCCTGGGATTCCCATTATAAATCTAGAGTCCTCTGTTACCCTTCTGTCTCCAGTGGTGTCACCCCCTCCTAGATTTCAAAGATGTTTCTTCAACTTACAGTTCAGATAACAATTGCCACTTCCAGGCTAAAGGAATCCATTCCGCAAACTCCCAGTATGAATGCTTCTGTTCTCGGCTGGAGAAACAGAAGCATCGTGAATGAAGGAAGAGAGAAATTCTAGAGCAGCACTGCCCAATAGAAGCAGCGCTGCCCAATAGCAGCTCCCAATGATGGGAGCGATCTATTATCTGTGCTGTGTAACACACTAGCCGCCAGCTGCAAGTAGCTCCTGGGCACTTGAAATGTGGCTAGTGCAACTGAGAAACTGGACTTTTAATTATATGTAGTTAATTGAAAATGAAATTTAAATGGCTTCATGCAGCTAGTGGCTACCATATTGGACAACACAGCTCAAGGGCTCTCGCCTTGGACTTCCTTGGCGGCGCAGTGGTTAAGAATCCACCTGCCAATGCAGGGGACGTGGGTTCGATCCCTGGCCCGGGAAGATCCCACATGCCGCGAAGCAACAAAGCCCATGTGCCACAACTACTGAGCCTACACTCTAGAGCCCGTGAGCCACAACTAATGAGCCCGCATGCCATAACTACTGAAGCCCACGTGCCTAGAGCCCATGCTCCACAACAAGAGGAGCCACCGCAAGATAAGCCCGCGCACCGCAATGAAGAGTAGCCCCCGCTCGCCACAACTGGAGAAAGCCCGCGCAGCAACGAAGACCCAAGGCAACCAAAAAATAAAATACAATAAAATTTAAAAAAAAAGAGCTCTTGCCTTTGGAGCAGTACCTTTTAGTTATGAATGTCTTCACAGTGTTCTACCCTGCGAGTGCCTTCCGCCCTTCCCACAGCCCCACTGCTACATCGTCCTTTGCACTCCTCCACCACCCTTTCATCCTCAGCCCCTGTTCCCCAAGTCTCACAGGTCCTTGGTGAGATGAAGGCACTTCCAAACAGGAGCCATGATGTGATTTGGTAAGCCATTGGGAGCCACTCCCCGGCAGTGTGGCTTCTGCTTCTGAGGATCAAATTGAAGAAAATGTAAGGGAGAGAATCTTCTAAGCTGGAGAAAGTCCCCAGGAGACCGCTTTCCCAACTTTTACTTTTCTTGGCATTACTTCCTCTCTGACCTTTTACCTATCAGCATCTTAAAAGATTTGTATCTCAACCATTACAATGACTTCTTCATCTTCTGCTTATTCCTCCATCAAAACTGCAAAACCTCCTCTGTTTTCTGTTCATCTTCCTTGGCGTGTCTCCATGGCACTTGCTTCTTGAAACTCCTGCCCTATGGGGTAGTCTCTCCTTATTCCTCTCACGTCTCTAATATTCCTTCGCAGGCTCTCCCTCCTCTGATCCATTTGGTCAGTGACGGTATTTCCCAGAGTCCCTGTCTCCTCAGCCCTCAATACACGTACTCCTGGTAATTTCATCCTATGTCTCATGGCTTTGACCACCATTTTAATGCCTGATTATCAAGTCTGCATCTTAGTAAATGTAAACTTTACTCAGTCTCAACTTTTCTACAAATTCTAGACTCAGTGTGGTGCTGAGCCATATTAGAGCCTGAGGCAAAAGAGAAAATCAATTATACGGTTTCTATCTTTATTTAAATTTTTGATGTTTTCTTCACCATAGATTTGTTGCATTAATTTTGATTTTTAAAATGTTGCATCGAGATACTTATCTTGATTACTGGGGGTCTTGGTGCTCCCTTAAATGTTGCATCTGGGAGAAGTAAGGCACTGGTCCCATATATCTGACTGGCAAAGAGACGTCTCCAGAAGGATGGCCCTTGATCTACCAGCACCTCCAACTCGACATGTCAGAAAGTAAACTCATCATCTCACCTGCCCACCTTCCCCCATCCTGAGTGCCCCACTCTTTCTGTGTGCCCAGGTTCAGTGTATGAGAGCACCATCAAAGCTAGAAACTCTTACTCCTTCAATTCCCAACTGCTATTAATTCTCTTATATATCTCTTTTATCTGCCTCCCCATCTTCTCTTCCTTCACTGCTTAAGTTAGGCCCTTACTAACTCTGGAGAACTGGAGATCTGAAGCTGTCTTCTTTATTGTCAACTGCAAATTAATCTATTTTCCTAACTGATCATGCTATTTTTCTACCTAAAAACCTCTGTTGTATAGAGTTTCTGTTTGGGATGACAAGTTTTGGAAATGGATAGTGGTGATGGTTATACTACATTGTGAATGCACTGATTGCCAATGAATTATACATTTTAAAATGATAAATTTTGTTTTATCTACTTTACCATAATTACACACACACACACACACACACACACACACACCCTTTGTTGGCTCCTATCAGTTTTAGTCCTTTCATCCTCTCTAGTTTAATCTTCCCCACCACTTTACCCCAGGCCCTATGCTGCAGCCACAACCAATTTCTGGGAAAGCCATCCTCTCTGGCAAACTTCTATTCCTTTCAAGACCTAGCTCAAGTATCATTTCTCCATAAAGTCCAAGCAGTTAATCATCCTTCCTCTATACGCCTAAACCATATTGTTCACTCCTGATGCAGCACTTATTACACTGTGAGCTTTGTAAAGCAGGACCTTGTCTTATTCATGCTTGTGTTTCCTAGCATAGAGTAGATGCTCAACATATGAACGAATAATCTTATTTAGTTACACCCGCAGCCCCTACAATCTCAACTGTGTTTGAAGTTGCTCTTTTTTCCTTTTACCTGTTTTGGCCATCCTAGTTACTAGGCCAAAGCTTTCCTTCTAGGCATCCTGCTGACCCCCTAATAATCCTGCTATCCCCATTCACTCTGTGTATTCAGGTTACCCCTGAAGTGGATCCTCGTGCAGTGCTTCGGGGCACTGTAGGCTCGGGGTCAGACGAGCTCTCGCTTGGGGCCTCACTTTCTTCTCCATCTTCAGCCTCAACCTGGAGAACGAAGTCTTCGTCCCGTGCGGTGTCATCCTCTTCTTCTCCATAATGACAGGCTGCCTGCTGCTGGCTCTTCTTGGGTTTGGTGGGGCTGCTCACCTTGGGGCTCTCAGGACAGGACACTGGAGCAGGCAGGGCTGTTGAGAGCTCTTCAGCCAGTTCCTGAAGATACAGAAGTGCCCTGCAGGATAGGGCAGAGTCAGAGCAACACTCACAGACACTTAACTGAGAGCCCACTGTGCCCGACACTTGGCTGATTCTTATCTCACTAGATCCTCCCAGTGACCATGTGAAATGGCTATTAATTTCCCTTCCCCTTTGATAGATGCAGAAACAGAAATCCAGGAAAGTTAAGTGACTTGGCCAAGATGATTCAGATCACATATGTGGAATCTGAACCCAGGTCTTCTGACTCCAAGTCCAAAGCACTTTTCCCTCTACCACAGTCAAAGATCATTGAGGGCAAAGGGAAAGAATGGAAGGGCACATATATACTGACACACACTGGGCAGTAAAATTGCAATGAAGACTTGGAGGACATTGTGAAAAATGCGATAGGATACGAGGTACAGAAAGGAACCTCCCAGATAGACAAATTTAACCACAGATAAAATTGCTGTGGTAAGAGCTAGAAGACTGCTCAAGTCCCCAGAACCCAGACACCACCCCTGCTTACCTGACACCTCATCACAGTCCACTCATCTCTTCAGCACCTGCCCCACCCTCATCCCTTCACCCAGCCCCCCTCCACCAAGCTGTGCCCCGAAATCCTTACACTTGGGCAGCCCTTCGGCGGGGTCGTTCCCCAGGAGGGGTCTCAAAGTCCTCAGGGGGCCTCTTTGGATGTGGAGACTCTGGCTGATCTAGGCCTTTTGACAACTTCAGCAGTAGCAGATCTGCCTTGGACTTTCGACCTCGTTTCTTAGGCATGGGGGTGGACAGAGGGTTGGACTGATCTAAGAGACCAGGAACCCGAGGGGCTGATGGAGAATTAGGCTGCTGGGGCCTTTTGGGGCCTTTCCGTGTCCTACCACCTCTCTTCGGGCCAGGCTTTGAGGCCCTAGGCTTTGGGACCTTTGACATCTCTGAAGAAAGATCTGTAGAGAAGAATATGGGTCTGTGAGATGGGACCAAAGCTCAAGCCTCTTTGGAACAGATTACACCATACCCAAGTTTGTAAGGTCCTATGAGCTCAACCTGCTCTCGTTCATCTTAAGCTGAGCATGGGGAGATAAAAAGCTGAAAAGGTCAAGGGACATACCTTGCTGTTCCAGTCTGGAGAGGGTTTCCTGTTCTGGAGGGAGCCTCCTCTCATCAAGAGAATCCTCAAATCCAGGCAAAGGGGTAGATAATGACGTCTCTATGGAAGCCTCCACACTGGTTGTTTCTGAAGAGGCCTTGACATCAAGCTGTTTTAGCACCTCTTGTCCAGGAGAGTCTACCACAGTCATGTTCCCCACGGGGCCGGCCTCCTCCAGAGCAACACAGCCGACCCCGTAGGGATCCATCAGCACCCCCTAAGATGGCTGTGCCTGCATATAAGAGACATACAAGTGAGTAGAAGGTAAAAGCTATTTGCACTGGCTCAGATTTTTCTACTTTCCTGTCTTTCTCTTCTCACAACCATTTCTCCAACCTCCCCCCACCTTCCCTACCAACCAGAAACCCAAGCTCTCTGATCATTCATTCATTCAGCAATAATTACTAAGCATATTCTATATGTCAGGCACTATTCTAGGAACTGGTAACATGACAATAAGCAAGACAGACAAGGTCCCTGATCTCACAGAACTCACATGTTAGTGGAGCTGACAATAAACAAACAAGCAATAATAAAGCTATCATTTATTAAATGCTTACTGTGTGCCAAGTATTGTACTAAGTGCTTTATTTAGATGATTTAAAGCGAGTGAACAATTATTTAACTCCTCTCCCTGAAACCCAATGAAATGAATCATGCCCTCCCCTTCAAAAAAAAAAAAAAAAGAGAGAGAGAGAGAGAGAGAAAATCACCTGTTATGAATGTAAGAAAGGGCTGCAAGTTTCTAGAATAGACTATAAAGAATAGCTGCCAGATACTATAAAGTTTACATCAAATTGAAGGAGGACAGGATGACTAGATCTGACATCCATCTTTGTGAATGTTAGTCAAGGTACAGATTTATTTAAGAATAAGTAATTCTCTAGTGTCCTGCTAGCAATCTTTCAGCTGGATGGGGGAGGTGGTAGTCTATGAGACAATTAAGGAACATCCTACTACATTAAGAGACCATTTCCACACTGAAGAATAGACTAAAAAATGGTCATGAATCTTCATTTTCTTCAAACCCAGGAAACCAGCTGTGCAACCATGGACCAAAGTAAACTGACAGAGATAAACAATACACTGACTACCAAACCAAAAACCTGAGCAACACAGAACTCTGCAAGGGCCCAGTTTTTGGCCAGAATAACCTACTTGTCTGTAACAAAAGGGAAGAAATAGCTCAGATCCCAGGAGGAACCCCTCCATAGGTCTATATATGTCTTAAGGATAAAGAACTCATCAGCCTCAGTGGAAAAGTGTGCTAATACAAATATCACAAGAAATATCATATAAATTAAAGTTTCTAACTGTCTCTCTTGAGGAAGCTACAGTCTATCATTATAAACTATAACAACAGCCAACTCTAACTCAGGTGCTAAGGATACATTATAACATCATATGCTAGGGATATAATATAACACTATCAAGGTAAATAGAGGTCAATGAGAATCCACCTACATTGTTCTCTGGGAAACAGCAAACCCTGAGAGAACTACTCCATTCAAAATTAGTAATAAGCAAAAAGGATCCAATGGGACCTATGCATAGTTACTATGGAAAGAATAAAAAGGACACAAATGAAAAAGGCGAAAAGTACCCTTTCAAAGAAAGTCTCCAGAAAACAAGAAATTTTCCAACAAAAGCTTCTATTCTTTCAAAAAAGCCAAAGAGACTGTGGAATCCAAGATTTAAGAGCCCAAAGAAGAGATAAAACAATGTCAAGGCAAAAAAAAAAAAAAAAAAAGAGCTGGCAGTCATAAGGAAAGAAACTGAGTAAAAGAATAAAATCAAAGAAATGAAAACCAGAGGAGAAGCAAAATGCTGAAACTATACGTACTACTGAAAAGACAATCAGTGATATGAAAGACGTGTTTGAAAAAAACCAGACAGGTTGTAAAGAGATAACAGTGATTAGTGAGAAGATGATATGGATGAAAAGAGAAAGTGGGAAGCCAACATATGAATAATTGATGTTCCTGAAGAAGAGAGAAGAAAAATGGGAACAGAAAAAAAACATGTTCAAAGACCTAACAAAAGAAAATTTCCTGAAATGAAAACTAGAAATGTGTACTTTCCTAACATAAAGATCTCAGTCTATAGATCAAAAGGGCTTATGGTGCAAAAGGGAGACAAAAATCAATAAATACTCATTAAGACCAAGAAATACAAGTGAAGATACTAAATTTCTCCTACAAAGAGAGAAAAAAAAGAAAATCAGGTCAGCCTCAGAGTTCTCAGAAACATTTGATGCCAGAAGATAAAGAAACATTAAAAGGATCAAGAGAATTCTTTACTTAACTGTCATTCATGTAAAGGTAATGGGATGACATTCTAAATATGCAAGTTTCTAAAAAAATCCACTTGAAGACCTAATTTAGCCAATGAAAGATAAATCAATATAAAGAACTTTCTAATGGAGAAGTTGTGTTATTAAAAGGCTGGCAGTAAGGATTTAACCCAGTGACACACCATTAACTGTGGTAACTACAGGTATAAAACAGATTATAAATTAAAAATTTCAATGTCCCACAATGTAAAAACACCAATATTCTGATTGTAGTAGATTGGGGCAAAAGAAGAAGTTCTTAATTTTGCTTCTAAGGCTGACAAATTGAAAAATATAGGTTTACTAATACCATTTTTCTTGGGGGGGGTTGCACCGTGTGGCTTACGGGATCTCAGTTCCTGGACAAGGGATTGAACCCCAGCCACGGCAGTGAAAACCTGGAATCCTAACAACTAGGCCACCAGGGAACTCCCTACTAATACCGTTTAGATGTTTAATAGAACTAAAACCAGTGTACTATATTGCTTCCAAAATACCCAATAGGGCTAAGAAACGGAAGGAATTTTTTAAAAGACCACATAATAAAAGATCATTAAAAATAATGGAAACACACACACACAAAGAGAAAAGAAAAAAAAAACAACACAAGGGTGACAGAAACAAGATAAATAAAAGGGATTTATTACAGGGTATTAAATGGTTCACATCAGTGGTTCTCAAAGGGTGGTCCCAGAACTGGCACATCACTTGGAAGTCAGTTAAGTGCAAACTTCCAGTCCTACCCCAGACCTACTGAATCAGAAACTCTGGGATGGGGCCAGCACTTCATGTTACGGCAAGTCTTTCAGGTGATTCTGATGCATACTCAAGTTTGAAAATGACCTGCATAGAGGATCACTGGAAGGGTTGAGGAAAAAACATTTAGGAACAAGTACTTGTCAAACTGAGAAGTTTACAGCTGCTGGTTCAAGAACCACATGGCTTCTCCTCTGCCATGGTGGGGAGCCAGAAGCTGGATCAAGAAGCCCCTGCCATAGCTGATGGCTCCATAAATAAGCTGCCTCTGCAATAATCAGAAAGTGACCAACTGAGGAACACTCTTCTCTGGCTCCCAGATCCAGAACCGTATCACTGCCACAATCTGCAACAGCAAAATGCATGCCTTCTGGCCTGCCTCCTCTCTAAACTCAAGTCCAAATTTGAGTTCTTCAAGAGCACATTTGATTGGCAAGGCCTAAATCATATTCAGAATCTTGGATGGAAAAATTCCAGGAAATGAAATTTCTAGCTTTCCAGGCTCTCAGATGGAGGGTGCTCATTCTCTCACATCCCACTTACCCCAGGGTAGAAAGTAGGATCAGTGTTTTCTCAATTCCTCTCCAGTGTCAATTCTTGACCAACAGTCCTCCCCATTTTGTAAAAACCTTGTTTCTTCCAAGCTCATAACATTCAGCTAAATCACTGCTAGTCACTCCACTGTCACACCTGAACCTTGTCAGCAAATAAAACCTTTTAATCTCTAAAATCACTAAGACACCCAATATCTGACCACAACCTCCCATCAGTACAGCTAGATTGCTCAACTACTATCACTATATCTATTCTTTAACCACATCAATTAATCCACTGATCTCTCCAATTTCTCCCTATGTCAGCCACATACCATCTAGTTTAGACTCCTTTATTTTAATCAGACTCTTGTTGATATTACAAACTTCCTTTCTTTTTGTTCCACGGGCCCGGCAAAATTCAAGCCTGGATGAACCAATCACCCATCTTCTCCATGGGAACATGTAAGCTAGTTGTTCAGCACTAGTTGAGCACACGTTCTCTCTAATCAGCTCCCATACCCTCTCTCCTCCAACGTCTGACACCCTAGTCCTCAGCAGATAACTTAGCCTCAGGTTTCTTAAACAATCAAAAACCATACTTCAATTTCTTGTCAGATAACCTAACACTCCCTGCCTCTGAGCCCCTCATCCACTTTCCAAAGCCAAACTTTCCACTTGTGTTCTAGCCCCATGCCCCCTCCTGCCCCACCAAAAGAAACTGAAGATGTTTATCCTTTTCCTTTCCATTGGCTCCTTCTAAACAGAATTTAACGGGAATTCCCTAGTGGTCCAGTGGTTAGGGCTCTGCGCTTCCACCGCAGGGGGCACAGGTTCAATCCCTAGTGGAGGAACTAAGCTCCCGCATGCTGTATGGTGCGCCACCCCCCACCCCCGCCAAAATAAATAAAATATGTGCCTCCCCAAAATAAATAAATAATATAAAATTAAAAAAATAAACATTTAACTATTTTTAAATTTTCATCTTAACACAAATACAACTATCCTTCAACCCACAGTTTTCCAACTAATATCCTCCTGCCCCTCACAGTCAAACTTTAAGAGCTGTCTGCCCTGTTTTAATCACCCTGCTGCATCCTAACTAGGAGATTGCCCTCAACTCATCACTGAAGCTAAAGTGATCAATAACTGTTGTGTCAATTAGTCCAATACTCTTCTCAGTCTCGTTTAACTTGACCTCTCAGCAGCACCAAGGCTCCTTACCACTTGTTTCTTGAAACATTCTCTTTTCTTGAGAAGCAATTCAAGTCCAGTAACCTTCCAGATGTTTACAAAATTTCCTGTCTTTTACAGTTGTCTTACACCTATTTGGTAGCTTTTTTGCTTGTTTGCAAACTCACCACTTTTGTCTCTCCAAAGTATTCAGTTTAGTTTGCTTTCTTTTCTTTTTTAGAATTGTTTTTATAAAATCTTTAGTTGATACAAAATACTTATAATAAGTGTAGAATATAAAGAACAACAATAAAACACCTGTATATCTGCCATGTTTCAACTTACTTTTAATAGAAACAGTAACTCTTACATACTCAAATTTCCTTAAAATTTAAATATATGTCACAATTATATAAACAGCGACAAATCAACTGATATTAAAAATGTTCGAACCAATACAATGACTCTTGGCAAGCATTCAGTTCAACTACTTAGAGTGACCGGGCCTACAGGAAAAAAATCTACAGGCTTCAAGAATTCAGTGTGCCATGGGCATCAGTAAAGTATGCTTTACACAGGAAATGGAGAATGTCAGTTAACAGAGGGAGCTAGTTAAATGGAATCAGTTAAGAGAATTTCTACATGTCTTAAAGATTTTTCCATATCATTTTTCCACATACATTTTTTTCATTCTTCTTAGTTACTATATGGTGTTCCATAGGATTATAGTTTATTTGGATATTTCCCATTTAATGGACAATTGGATTATAATACTATTACAAATAATATTGCAGTGAATATTCTAGTATAGATCTCTTCATTAATGAGAAATTATTTTTCTAGAATAATCATCTGAAGTGGAATTACTGTACTGGGTTAAAGGGTATACACATTTCAAAATTTAATAGATACTGCCAAACAGGTCACCAAGGTGAAAATCAATTTATACTCTTACTAACTGTAAAAATGGGTATACCCATTTTACCACCCCTTGTCAATCTTTGATTTTTGCCAGTCTGATGGGTGAAATAATTCTTCCCTACTGTACTTATTTGCATTGTCCTGGTAATAATTGAGATTAGCAACTTCTTTTTATATGTTGGACATCTATGTCTTTTATGAATTGCCGATACACATAATTTGCCCATATTTCTATAGGACAAATTGATCATTCCTTATTGATCTGTGCAGTTATTTATGTTGCAAATATTTTCTCTCTGTATCTACCTTTTAAAAAAAACTTTGCTTATGTTTCTTGCTAAACTGAAGTTAAATTTTATGAGTTAAATTTCTCAGTCTTCTCCTTTATGGCTTCTGTTTGTGTCTTTTTTTTTTTGGCCATGTTGCATGATGCAGGGATCTTAGTTCCCTGACCAGGGATCGAACCCGTGCCCCCTGCCGTGGAAGTGCAGAGTCCTAACCCCTGGACCACCAGGGAATTCCCCTGTGTCTTAAAAAGGTATTTCCTGGGCTTCCCTGGTGGCGCAGTGGTTGAGAGTCCGCCTGCCGATGCAGGGAACGCGGGCTCGTGCCCCGGTCCGGGAAGATCTCGCGTGCCGCAGAGTGCTTGGGCCAGTGAGCCGTGGCCGCTAGGCCTACGCGTTCGGAGCCTGTGCTCCGCAACGGGAGAGGCCGCAGCGGTGAGGGGCCCATGTACCGCAAAAAAAAAAAAAAAAATTTCCTACCGCACTGATATAATATCAGAATATAAAATATCTTCTTTTATTTTCTTCGAATAATTTTTCTAGTTTTGGATTTTACATGTAGCTCTTTAGCCCGTCTGGAATTTTCTTATCATAAGAGATACGGGTATTTACTTATTCCATATCTATCTTCCTTAAAAGTTTCATGAGATAGGGCTCTTGTCTATCTGACTCACTATTGTATCCAGAACCTGGTACGTGGTAAGCGCAACAATTAACCTTTGTTGATTGAACAACTAACTTCTCAAGGTACAAAAATCTCTATAAGGATTCACTTCTCATAGAAGGCACGGTATTGGTGGTTACTTTCCATTTTTGACTACACAATGCAAATCCTGGACACAAGTAAAGGATGTTTAGTAAATGTGTACCAGAGTTTATAAAATTTTGCATCGGCACCCCAACTTGTCTGGTTCCCATGCTGCTCCAAGGCTGCCATCCTGATCTCCCCAGATGTGGAAAATGATTAGATAACACTGCTCCTCAATTATGGAGTTACTTTACACACACTGTTTGGTCTAATACACTGTTTCCCAAAGTGTTCCTATGGTACAACTGGTGGTATGCAAGATGATTTCTGACATACAAAAATGAACGATTTTATTTGACTAATTGTGTTTTTATTTTAACTTGTATATATAAAAAGAAAAATATAACTAGTCCATGAAACCCATGGTTTCATCTACATTGTTTAGATCAAGACTAAAGCACTTATATCTTAAAATTAAATCAATTTAAAAAAATTACTAAGAAAACAATACTACAGTTGATAAGAAGGGGTGGCCAAAAGAGACGAAGGCACAGAAGTGACAGGTTTGTGTAACAATATGCCCCTGGGGCTATAAGCCTTGGCCATACCCTGCACCCCTCTAACAAAGTGAGTTACCACGGATGAAGCTGAAGTCACCACCTCTGCCTTCCCCAACAGAAAGCCAAGTTACTGCGGGATAAAAGGACTAGATTGGGAAACATAACTGGCCCCTGGCTGCGCCAATGAGGTTGCAGCGCGCGGGGCACAACCCCCAGGGTTAGAAGAGCCTCACCGAGGAAGAGGCTGGAACACAGCAGAATGAGAAGACCGACCCGCTACCTCTCTAGGGGTGACCGCCTGCCCTTTCTCAGTCCTGGGTGTGGGGTAGCTTTCACCACTAGCCTGTTCGGAAAGCGAGCCCAGAGTTTCGTAAGGCTGAGGACTACGGTAGGTTCGCAGAGTCCGAGGGTTGCAATGTAGGCAGCGCCGCGGCCGGGACACAGGATGAGGTATTACAGACACCGCGTGGGGAAAGAAGGCGAGACCCGAGGAGAGCAGAGATGGGGGATGCACGGTTGCCACCGTGGGTTAGGGAGGTGGGGACCACGACGGTTTCCGGAGGAGTTCAGGGGGCTGGAGGTCGCGATGCTGTGCAGAGGCGGAAAAGCGGAGCCGGAGTTGGTTCCCAATATCTTAGTGCTACCGAAAAAGAAGTGGGGTGGGGGGTAGTAATCGTGGGGCCCCGCACATCCCGCTGTGGTACACTCACCCTCACCAAAGTCCTTCCGGAAGTCCAAGTTCGAAGATGGCGCCGCCTGTCTGGTCGCCGTTTTATGACGAAATCTGGTAGCTACTCTTCATTGACGTCCCCCCAGTGTACAAGGTAAACACGTGGGCTTGGTTGGGAGTTTGTGCCCCAGGACGTTTTCTATTAGACTATCTATCCCATAATGCAGTGCGGCGAGCGTCCCCGAGCCCTGTCGCAGCGGGCGCAGCTCCCGGGCCTTAGCGGCGCAGGGGACGCCCCTGCACGGCCTTATGGGAATTGCAGTGTCCCGAAGGGAACTGACGCCTGCGCGGTGATAGTCGTCGCCCCCCGACCGGTTCCCACGCGGCTTCTACTCGAGCCTCGAGAGTGCGAGTGCCCAGGCCTGAGTGTCGCTCCCGAGCGCGGAATCCTGGCTTTCTGTCGAGACTACCGGCCTGTGGCGGGCAGGGCCGGGCTGACGTGAGAATATTGACCTGCAGCCCCGCCGTCGAGTCGAAGACTGGGAGACAAAGGAATCCTTGCCTCGGGGGACGACTCCGGCTTCCCCCTCAGGGCAGCCGCCAGCAGATCCTGCCACTAGTGAAGTTAAGGATGGACCCAAGACAGAAACACCGTGAAAGGGAAGAGCAGTAGAAAAGCCTGGCATGGGGACGCTCTACTCAAGTGATCCTCGGGCTTGGACCCCTCCCCTTGGTCGTAGGCCTTGCCCCACTCCCTCCCTGGGAGGTAGGATGCTGCTGGAGAAAGAATGTAACAAACTTCCGCCCTTTCCTGAGGCATTTAAAGCTGTGTAAATCTCACAGGTCTCCATACACTGAATAGTGGAGTTCAGCATGTATAAACAAACAGGAAAGGGTGGGGTAAACCAATCTTTCTCTTCCCAGATAATCTCATCTATTAAATTCCCTTGGTTACACAAAACATTTAAGAAAAGCATGGGAGAAGCTAGCTAAATTTAAAATCTAGGGCAAGGGGACTCCCGTCCCATTTGACCTAAGTGGCCCAAAGACGAGCTAAGGCTGCGCTGTGGCTTAGGACTGACTCCTTTCTGAGAGTGCAAAATCGGGTGCAGTCGAGGCTGCAGTTCCTCTAATACGGGGCATCTACAATGCTTGTCCGATGAGCAGCTCTCAACTTGACAACTTCAAGCATTTATTTTTCTATTAAAATTTTTTTCAAGCATTTATTTCTGTAATGAACAAATCTGACTCTTCTCCATTCCTGTTGCCTCAGATTAGACTATCTTTGACTTCACCTAAAGCAATCTTTTTTATACTAATAATTGTATTTATTTTGGGGATAAGACATTCACATGGCTGAAAATTCAAAAGATACATAGGGTATAAAGTGAAGAGTACCTTTCACCTCTGTCTCCAGCCTCCCAGACCACATCCACCCAGGCAGTTTTCTTGTTACAGGTCCAAGATACTTTCTGTATTCATACACATGCAAATACATATATATCTCACACACACACACACACACACACCTTTTGGCCGCGCTGCGCATGTGGGATCTAGTTCCCCAGCCAGGGAATCTTTCCCCTTTTTAATTCAAAGAGCAACTACACACACTGTCCTGCACCTTACTTCTTTTGAGTGTACCTTGGAGACTATTCCATCTCTCTATATAAAAACCTTCCTTATTCTTTGTTATGATTGCTTAGTATGTAATTATATGAATGTAGTATAATTAGCCCTTATTATTAATGGATATCCAGGTGGTTTCCAGTCTTTCGCTATTATAAACAATGCTGCTATAAACTCTGTGTCTAAGCTACTTCAAATGTGCAACTATATGGCTAGCATTAGTTCCTAGAAGCAGAATTGCTGGACCAAAATTTAGGTGCATTTGTGATTTTGATTGATAGGCAATTTTTTTTTAGTTGATCTGGTTCTCTGCCTCTAATCTTTACCAGCTACCAGCTAAAGCACAGAGCTGACCCTGTTGAACCTCTGCTTAATTTTGATGATTGAGTGGTAATGCTCAATATGTAAAAAAACATGAATTCATCATAATCTTTATAGAGAGAAAGCCAAAAATTCAACAACTTCTCATTGTATGCCACTGGAAGTAACCAGTGATCAATCCTGAAAACTGGCAATTAAAAGGAAAGAATTAAACATTTATCTTGCCTTTCCAGTATGAATTGTAATTCAGAATAGTAACTGATGAGAGGGAGTTCTTTATAGAAGATTATCAGCTAGTACGTATGGAATGATGTAATTAGGAAAAAAAATTTACCATGTTGCATCCTCTAATGAAATAATTCAGGCAACAATAAAAGTGGATGAAACCACTAAATGAAAGTTTGTTGGGAAACTTTAAAACACCTGGACCCCATTCATCACTGAAAATGGACCAACCAACCTGATGGCAAGGCAGTATGAAACATACTCAACCTGGTTCCTGGCACAAGTCTATGTCATGAGAAAAGAAGGGGGGGGTTGGAGAGACTGCTTTTGATTACAAAAAATTTAAGACAAAATAACGACATGTAATATATGGATTTGTTTGGATCCTGATTCAACAGTAAAAAGCTGCTTTTGAGACAAGGAAATTTGATTATGGATTGGACAATAAGGAAGAGTTTAATAAGTGTAATGACATGGTAAGCTTCCATATTTTTTAGAGACATAATGACGTTTGGAGGAGTAAAACGATATAATGACTGGGATTTGCTCTAATACAACTTCAGCAAGGAAACAAAAAGAAAGCATGTGTGGTGAATCTTGATAATTACGATATTTGGTGATGTGGATTCTTTGTATAGTTCACTGTACTTCTATGCTGCTTGAAATTTTTCAATAAAACACACAAACACACACACACACACACACACACACACAAAATGGATGACTCTAACATATTTTTTAGGCTAACCACAATGGTTAGACTCTCACAATCTGGACCCAATCCAACCTACGTTAGCAGCTGTATCACTAATTATCCACATAAGCCGAGGTTCTAGCTTTACCACACTACTTGACACTTTGGAATTGGCCAGTCATTTTAAGGCCTATTCTGTAGTCTAAGTTATTTCCTCTGTTGATCTGCGTTCTCATTCTTTTCCAACTGGGAAACTTCTTATCCTTCAAGGACTAGGTCAGATGTTACCTGTGAAGTCTTCTCCAACCTCACTAGATCTGGCAACATCTGGGTTGCTTCCAGTGAACTCTGTTCATACTACTAGTAGAATGTATCTCATACTGTAGATGTCATCTGTCTTCCTCCATCAATGATGAGTACTCCTTAATGGCAGATAGCATAAAAATTACGGGCACAGTCTCTAGATCCAGAATGCCGGAGATCACATGCCGGTTTAGTTAGTGTTACCTTGGGCAAGTAACTTAACCTCTCTGTGCCCCAGTTATCTCATCTATAAAATCGCATTTCATAGAGTGGTATTAATCTTCCTAAATGGATAAAACGGGACTACAACAGTTTATGACACACAGTAAATACTCAATACTAAGGATACAAAATATTAATATATTAATGTGTAACTATTTAATGTAAATATCAATATATTGGTTTAACTTAAATATTAATGTAATAATAATACTAAAATACTAAGGATAGGACTCTTATTTGTCCTTATTATACTTTTTCTCGTATCTAGGTCAGTGTCTGGCACATAGATACTCAATAAATGGTTGATGACTTGGATAGTTTATGGTCTCCATACTGACCTTCACTTTGGCCCCAAAGCACTGGCATGGAGGTTGGTAGCAGGTGCTAAGAGGGGCTGGAGAGTCTGGACTCCTAACCTAAGCGGTGGCGATGCTAAAAGAGATAAAAGGCAGCAGAGTTGCTAAGTGTAGGGAGTATGTCATTTATTGACCCTGTGTTCACCCACTCACTGGTCACTACTCTTGACTCGCAGCACAACAGGTACAGAACTGCAAGGGATCATGCCCAGCTCCGTGATCACCAGATCCACCAGTTCTGGCGGGGTCACATCATAGACCAGATTCAACAACCGTAGGGACGAGTGGTTCTGCCAGTCAGCCAGGGCCACACGTTCTCCTTGCTCACACAGCAGATCGTCAGGGTCATCTGCAATGGGAGGTGTACCCTTTTATGTCCTTTTAAAAAATAAGCTGTGGGCTTCCCTTGTGGCACGGTGGTTAAGAATCCACCTGCCAATGCAGGGGACATAGGTTCGAGCCCTGGTCCAGGAAGATCCCACATGCTGCGGAGCAACTAAGCCCGTGCGCCACAACTACTGCGCCTGCGCTCTAGAGCCCATGAGCCACAGCTACTGAAGTCCGCACACCTAGAGCCTGTGTCCGCAGTGAGAGGCCCGCGCACTGCAATGAAGAGTGACCCCCCACTTGCCGCAACTAGAGAAAGCTCGCGCACAGCAACGAAGACCCAACGCAGCCAAAAATAAATAAATAAATTTATAAAAAAATAAAAATAAAAAATAAGTTGTACTTCAACCTCCCCTCTCCCTTCCAAATCTCAGGTCCCTGGAACCTTCTCTCCTGCCCTCCTGGGCCTCCTTACCTAGCTCATTAGAGACAAAGGCATCAGTCTGCACACGCTCACAAAACTTGTATGTTTCACAGCAGACCAGCACTGGCACATTATGGGCCCGTGCCACCAGGGCCAGCTGTGCTGTTCCTACCCGTGACATCACAGACCCGTTGGCCAGGAGTGCATGAGCTCCCAACAGCACCTTAGAAACCTATTTTGGAGAATAGAGAGGAGGAAAAAAAATGTCATGTGTGACCAATGCAGAATAAGGTTCCCAACTCTTACCCAGGACAGCAATATTAAGGCAATGGGTAACAAATCTTAAAAAAGGCTCTTGGAAAACACCTGACCATTGATTCACCACACCACCCACAGGAAAACTAAACTCTTTTGTCCTGTTCCCTCTCAGCGGCTACTAGTTTTATATAAGGTTCCTGCAATAGGTAGACATGCTGTATAACATGCTGTAGATGCTTCTCCTACTAAATATAAACACAGCTGTATAATTTTAGTATTTTAGACAATTGCAACGTTGGCAAGGCGAGACTATGTGTATACTACTATACCCTTTTACTCCAACCTTGGAGTTCTTTTCCTCTGCCCTCACCTCTGGGAGCACATAGGAAGCTGCAGGAATCAGCAGGTAGGAGGCAGGGACCCCAGCACGGACCAGAAAACGTAGTGTGTGCTTTCCCTCCAGCCGTGGCCGGCTGTCCACCACTACCACCCGAAACCGCCGGCCCTTAGCCCAAGCCTCCTGAAGAATTCGTGATACCAGAGATGAGCTGGAGTGAATGGAGAGGAGGATTCAGTTATAAATGTCACTGACTGATGGTCAGCTCATTCCTAAAGGGCAAAGGGGCAGTTCCTTCTTCAAATCATTTCACTCCCCAATTTTCTCAGTCATAGGGTCTGGCCCATACCATCCATATACCAGGATTACATCTCCATTACTGATCTTCTCATAAGCAAAGCGTGAGATTGCCTCAGCTGCAAGCACAATCTTCTCTTGCACATATAGATCAATGGCTGCTCGAAGTTCTGACTTGGCCTAAATGGAGCAAGATACTTATGGAACAAGAAATGGACACAACCCTTTGATTATCATGCTGGATGCTTGAATATGCATTTAATGACAGGCCTAAAGGGGGCCCAGGTCAGAAAGACCCACCACCTCCTTAACCATTGACCAGGCAGACCAGAGAGTTGCCCCTTCTGGGAGCCCCAAACATGTTTCCAGCTCTAACCCCCAGGTGCATGCCTCGCTCATTCCTCATACTCATCACCTCCTCTTCCCGCTTGGAGCTGCTCACACCCGTGATCTCCTTGTTAAGGAACTTGATGGCGTTGTACATGCTCGCTGACAGGGGACGGCACTGAGTCAGGAAGCTACAAAAACAACACCTTGCATCTGTGCAACTCTTCACAGCTCACAAAGCTTTCACATTTAAAAACATTTTTTTAAAGAGAAGACAAAAGAATGAAAATAGAGGTAGAAGAGCAAGAAAAAGGGTCCGAGTGCAACATAAATTCAGTATTTGGCATCGTTAGTTTTCTTGGCTTTGTGCATGTTAGACCTGATATTTCTACTGATACAGTATTCCTATAGTTTCTCATACTGTTCAGTTTGACAGTCCTCAATAGTTATTAATACTGTTTTTCTAGGGTGTCAAATTCAGAACCAGGCAGATCCATCTCCTGACCCTAAACATGGTCCTAAAGTAAATCGCTTGAGGAAACTGGATCCCAAAGATTACAGGTGGGGAATTTTGAAGTGTGTCCATATTTCACTGGAGATCAAAGAAGCCTAACTAAAAGAATTGTGGGCTGAACTCACATGACAACTTGTTTTTGAAAGCGCTGTTTTATCTTGAAGATTATGAGTTTGGAGGAACTAAGGTGATTGGCAGTGGAAAGAATCAGAACGTGTGAAATTCCTTGAAAATTTATTGACTTAAATAACTTTGTCTGTGTTACACATAATAAAAAAAACCCTTTACACTTTGAAAAAAAAAAAAGAAAAAGGGTCTAAGAAAAGGACTGAGCAAGGTGGGGTGGGAGTGGATGTGCAGTGGTCATCCTTACCTGAAGTAGGGCTTTAGTTTATTCACTAGGTCCCTTGACAGTTCTTCACTGGGAGGTGTGGTGTAATCCTGAATCACCTGTAGGGTACACAAGTTAATCAGCAAAATGCGCCCTAACAAAAGTCTCTGAAAGGGGGACAGGGTAAGCTTCTCTGAAGAAAGTCTTCTGAGGGTGGAGTCATTCCCTCTTCCCCCCAGAGATTACTCTGGGTGAGAGAAGCTGGGATAGTGTTGGGGAAGGTGAGGCTGGATCATAAGAGGTAACAAGATGGGACATACCTGCTGCAAGGCACGAAGCAAGGCAATGCACCGGGCATTGGAGCCACTGACGAGGCCCTGGGAGTACTGCAGGCCGAGTCGCACCATGGCTGGGTGGATCACAGAGGATGGGATGCTGATGGGATGGCGGTGTCACACACTTTGCAAGGGAACTTGAGCACCTACCGCCCACCTTCCCCTGATGAAAAGGAACCTCCTTCACTCGCACAGACACCCCCATTTGAAGAAGCATGCCTTGTGTTCATGCTTCTTTCCACAGATCCAACCTCAAGTTTCCAGTCACTTTCAAAACAGAATTACTAAAACTCCTCATGCTTAAAAGTTATGACAATTTCATAAGCTCCTACCTCATAAACTGGGTCAGAGAGTTTTGTCTGCTGTACTGGGGTAGGTGGGAGAAGAGACTGACTTTGGATCCATAATCCTTTCGTGTAGGAACCTTGACAAAACAGGGGAACAGGACCAAGGGCCCAGAGTTTAAAACTGTGGAATGATGCTGGGAAGGAAGAAGATGGTGATCCAAATACCCATCCTTTTCCAGGGTCTCACTTCGCCCCGAGCACCTTTCCTCCCTCTATTCCATCTCCCTAGGCTCTTTCTGGCCACACACCAAACCCACTTCCTACCTGCTGTCGTTCTGGTTTTTTAACAAGCCTCCTCAGAAGCGTGGGGTCATCAACCTGACTATGCTCGGGTAGACGCTTCACTCCTAGAAGATAACAGTCGTGTTTTCGAGACACTGTAGGTAATAATGAGAAATCTGCTTTCAGGGCGTAAGGGACATCAAGAAAGATTTGAGAGAAAGATGGAAAAAAACAGGAGAAAAGAGTAGAAAAAGAAACAGGGGTAGGATGAGGTTAAGGATGAACTCTGGGAACCAAGGTGAAAATTGGGAGCTGTTTTACTGTGGGGAAAGCTGAGCTAACATAGGCATTTGAATCAACAGAGGTCTTGAAGTGAAGATACCTGAGGGGGTTTCTCCAGCTGTGCTGGGGCAGGCCTGAGGAGGTGGCCCTCCTTGGTCCCCTTTTCTTGCCTGCTTCAGGGCCCGCTCAGCCTCCTGCTTGGCCCGCCTTTCAGCTCGAAGTTCAGCCTTACTCCGACCTGCTGGAACTTTCTCCTTGGCACTGCCCAACTGACTGTCCAGTCCAGGCAGGTCTTTGGTCGGGCCTGCTGAAGGTAGAAGGAAGAGGTGCCCAAGCCCTAGGTAGGTAATAGCTATGCCCCAACCAAAGCTTCTTTTCCTGTTTATCTAAACTTTTTCCCTTTTCACTTGTTCAAACCAACTTTGTCCTGTCTCCCCCTCTTCTCTCCCACCACATCCCTTTACCAGCTCCACACCCCGGCCCTTTAAAAAAGCCCCCGCACCTTGACATTGGGCTGCAGATACAGCAGAGCCAGTTTCTGGTTCTGCCCCCTTTTCCTCCTTTCGTTTCTTCTTCTGCTGTTTCTTTTCCTTCCGAAGCTGCAGCTTTTCTTCTTGGGTCATCTCCCTCCCCCCTGCCTAAGACACAGACATAGAACACTAATCTTCCCCAAAAATTCCAAAAATGAATAAACACTACTGGATACTTACTAGTCTCCCACAGGATCCCTAATCCTTCCTAAGCCTCAGCAGCTACCTGTTACGAGCTTAGAGCCCACAGGGATCGAAGTTTCTCCTGCAGATCACAGTCACATTACCATCAGGGCTGAAAAAGCTCTGTAAAATCTCTTGGATTTAAACAATTTCACTTTAAGAAATAAAGTGAAACGGGGATGAAGATTGGGTCGGAACGAAGTTGACAGGGCCTCCTGCGTACCGCCTAACAGGCGGCTAGGGAGGGCACCCGCACTTACCCCAGGCCGAGGAACAAGCTCCGCCTTCATCCCAGATCCCGAGTCTGCATCAGAAAACAGGGCACAAAGTGAACCAGAGAGGCTCCGGGAGGGTTTGCGGGGACACGTACTCGGCGCTGCTGGCTGCTGGGTCTGCATGACCACGGGTCCGCCACCAGGCGGGAGGTGAGCAGGGGACCGGCGTGTGGGACGCAGTGCGCGGCAGGATCAAAGGGAAGGGGGGCGGGGGAAGGAGGGAGCACGCACACCTCCCGGAGGAACAAGCCGGTACGCGGCACGGAGTGCGCCCGAGGCAGTGCGGACCAGAGTCCGGCGTGGCGCGGGAACCGAACGACAGGGCCTAGAGGTACTCAGGGCCCATCAGTAGCCGTCCGAGGCCCGTCCGCTCGCATACTTGTTTGTGTGCCTGGCCCTTCACTCACCCTCGCGAACAGCCACGGCCACGGCAGCCATCGTCCTCAGTCCTGGGCTCCGCCCGCCTGGGTCACAGGGACTACAAGCGCCCCCTGGGCTGACAGCCTCGGCGCGCAGCCCTAACCGGACTACAAGCCCCGAAGTGCCCTGGGGCTCTGCCCCTGGCTACGGGTCGCGATAAGGGCCTTTTCAGCTTTGGGCTCCCAATCCCGGCTGTCGGCTCTTGCCCTTTAGACTACAGTTCCCAGGATGCCGGGGGCGCTGCGCCCCAGAGCGGACTTCCTCAGCCCTTCCCACCTCTGATCGCAAGTACCCCCCCACCCAAAATGGCGAGCGAGGCTGCGGGGACACGCTGAGGAGTGGAGGCGAGCGTGCAAAGCCGCTGTGGCCCTCAGAGTCCGGACCCGGCCGGGCCCTGCCGCAGGGAACATGCACTTTTCCATTCCTGAAACCGAGTCCCGCAGCGGGGACAGCGGCGGCTCCGCCTACGTGGTGAGGAGCGGCCGGAGCCCGGCCGGGCAGGGGCGGGGATAACGGGCCGGAGCCCTCTCCGAGCGGCCTCCGAAGTCTGGACGCCACCTTTCGGGCCTGGTCACAGGCTGCCGAGTCCCGACGGCCTCGATGGGAGCTTATGTTACGTCTCAGATTCATCCAAAGGTCGCCCCAGCTCCTGTAGGTCCTTTGTTCGGCCGCATCGCCTCCCCTGGCTGGGCCGCGGCTACTCTGGTGGGCGTCCCTGGCCTCTTGGGGAGGAAGACTGCAGCCTGAGGGCCCGGGTTTCCCCCGACTGGTCCTTCTGCTTTGGGACCTGGCTCTGGGGAAAATCGGCTGGCCACCTTTGGGAGATCTCGACGCGTTGCTCAGGCGGAGCTGTGGCAGGCAACTTCCGGCCAGGGTTCTCAAGCCCCGCCAAAATGGCGAGCGAGGCGAGCGACCCTAAACAAGACCGCGACCCTAAACTGCTTGCCTGCTTTTGTGTCCTCAGGCCTATAACATTCACGTGAATGGAGTCCTGCACTGTCGGGTGCGCTACAGCCAACTCCTGGGGCTGCACGAGCAGGTGGGACTAGCACCCCTGCCTTGAGGCAGCTTTAAGCCCTTTTCTACACCTGGGCATCAGTGTCTCCATTTCCCTCCCCGTCGCTTTCTCGTAGGCTGTAGTTCCCCTTTAATCACTGCCACAGGGAAGGATTTGGTGCTTTATCTTATCATCTGACATTTCCGGGGAACTCCCAGGAAGCTTGATGTCTGCCACTAACTGCTCCTCCCTATATGCACATACTCCCTCCTTTCTTCTCTGTCCCCATCTTACACAGCCTGTACACTGCCTGTGCCTGTGCATGGAGAAAACGACAGCCCTTCCCCATAAGCTGCCAAAGCACTTTCTTTCTGTCACCTGAGCTGCAACTTGAAATTCTTTTTCCTGCTCATATTGATACAAACCATTCACCAGTTTCTGTCTGTGTTCCTTGAGTCACCTGAGCGGGTGTAGCTGTTCCAGTTATCCTTATGTGTCTGTGATGTAATGTTTCTCTGTTCTCCTCACCAGATTCTGAGCTCTGTATTTAACTCGGTACAGAGTCCTGGTTTTACTGATAACTAGTTGTGCAACCCTGAACAAGTTACCTGATTTCTTTGGGCCTCAGCTTCTGCAACTGAAAAATGGAGTCATTGATCTGCAAAGTCCCTTTAAGTCCTAAAATACTTCGTGAATATATTTAGCTATTACTTAACTGTGCACATAAACTTTCCTTACAAAGCCCTTTGCTTCCTATGAGGGTTCAATGAACACAGCTTTGCTAGATAAGCAAGGGTCTCCCTAGGCCCTGGCCCTATACAAACCCTTCCCACACTGTGGAGGGACAGACCTGTACACTGTAAGATTGGAAAGCACATATATCTAGGACAGAGGAACAGCTCCCTTGGGATGCTGCGCCTGCCAAAGGAATGATTTCCTGGATGACCAGGGTAGATAGGGGAGCAGGGACTAAGGAAAGGGAAGGGGAGCCCAAGAGAACATTATGAATGTGGATTGCCTCTTCTCATTTGCTATGTTTATGTGAAGAGTTGTATCTCTTTCTCCAAATAGCTTCGGAAGGAATATGGGGCCAATGTGCTTCCTGCATTTCCCCCAAAGAAGCTTTTCTCTCTGACACCCGCTGAGGTAGAACAGAGGAGAGAGCAGTTAGAGAAGTACATGCAAGCTGGTGAGTGGTTGGAGGGAACTTTAGGCTGACTCTGTTGAGGATTATGGAGAGAGGCTCAAAACAGCTGATTTTGTAGAAGGTCTTGAAGGAATCTGTAGATCTGGGAAGCTATTGTTTTATCTGTCATTTAATTAGCAAAAGTAAATAGCATGCAAGGATGCTCTGGTATCTAGGTGCCAGCAAAGCAATTTGGGCACTGACATCTATGAGAAATACTAATATAGCACTAACTAGTCTTAAAGCAGTTTCGATCGGCGGGGAGAACTTAATTTGTATCTGATGTGCTTTAGATGAACATTATTTTTCCCTAGTTCTATAGACTGGACTCAACCAGATGGTAGCCAAGGGTGGGGCAGGTGAAGAATTTATGCAAACAGTGAGTGAGGTGAGGCCAGTTGGGAGATGTGACAAGCCACCATCAGCCCAGGAAAGGGGACCTGGGGGGCCTGCCAAACAGAGAACTGGGGGGATCCAAGAGGGAATCATAAGTTATTAGAACATCATTCTCTTGTCCCCACAGTTCGGCAAGACCCATTGCTTGGGAGCAGTGAGACCTTCAATAGTTTCCTGCGTCGGGCACAACAGGTAAGGCTTTGGATGGGACCAAGTTTTAAGGGGAGCACCTTCCTGCAGGGCCACATCATTTTAATGAGGTGGGTACAGAGGAGCCATCCTGGCACCTTTCTGTATGGAATGGGGCTTCTGCTGTACCAGTGAAATCCAGGAAACCCAGTCTATAATTAAACAGCTGAGAATAAAGTCACCAGAGGGACCTATAATACAACATAGTTGGAAAGGGTCAGAGCTGGACGCTGGGCATGTTGTTAACAAGGCGCCTCCCATTCCTGTGTATGCTCACAACCAGGAGACACAGCAGGTCCCAACAGAAGAGGTCTCCTTGGAAGTGCTGCTTAGCAACGGGCAGAAAGTTCTGGTCAATGTGCTAACTTCAGATCAGACTGAGGATGTCCTGGAGGTGAGGCGCTTGTTCTGCACTGCCCCTCCTCCCCCTGCACCCCAGGTTCCCAGGCTTGGGGTGACTGGAACCATCCAGCATGATGAGCTGTATTTCCTTCCTTATTCCTAGGCTGTGGCTGCAAAGCTGGATCTTCCAGATGACTTGATCGGATACTTTAGTCTTTTTCTAGTTCGAGAAAAAGAGGATGGAGCCTTTTCGTGTGAGTTTGTCTGGACTTTACAGCTTCCCTGTTTCCACTAGTGAATTTGACTGTCTCCCCCAAGAATGTGGCATTTCCCCAGGGCTTCTCACTTGATTTCCCTCCCCTGAGTTTCATGACATTTTCTTTTTCTTTTCTTTTCTTTTTTTTTAAACTCATAGTTGTACGGAAGTTGCAAGAGTTTGAGCTGCCTTATGTGTCTGTTGCCAGTCTTCGGAGTCAAGAGTATAAGATTATGCTAAGGAAGAGGTCAGGGCTGGGCTTGGAGGAGGGAAAGGGTGCTGGACTGGATTATGGGGCCACGTATTGAGACAGAATAATCTGGACAAGGGGGTAGTGCTGGGTGTTTCTACCAGGCCTCCCAAGCTTCCTCCAACTGTATCACCATTAGCCCCATAGTTCCAGATTGCTCCGGTTTTGCCCCTTTTCCATTCTGCCTCTTGCCTTTCCCCAGCTTAGCCCCATTACCCCTTTCCACCCCTTGGCCTCACAGTTATTGGGACTCTGCCTATGATGACGATGTCATGGAGAACCGGGTTGGCCTGAACCTGCTTTATGCTCAGGTGAGCTTGGAGCTGCCTCAGAACCCTTCCCCTGAAAATGGCTCTGGTGTCCCTCTGCCAAGAAAACTCCTTTCGTACCTTTACTGCCAGTTCATGGGGAAGTTTCTAGAATACTCTCAGGGCATCTGGCACAAGCTCTACTCTCCCTGCTTTGTAAGCTGATATGGTCAAGGACTCAACTGCGAAGAGCTTGCTCAAATGTGGGGTGAGGGGTCAGGCTGGACAGAGGTAACTGGACACTCTTTGGGTCTCTGACTGGGAGCCCCGAACACCCCACCCCTTGTCTCCGCTGCAGACAGTATCAGACATTGAGCGTGGGTGGATCCTAGTCACCAAGGAGCAGCACCGGCAGCTCAAATCACTGCAAGAGAAGGTCTCCAAGAAGGAGGTGAGCCCTGCCTCCCTGTCTCCCTCCAAGGGGTTGCTTCCTCTGGGCTGTCCCACTTCCCCTCCTGACCCGTCCCGCGTGCTGACTGGGTTTCAGTTCCTGCGGCTGGCCCAGACGCTGCGGCACTATGGCTACTTGCGCTTCGATGCCTGTGTGGCTGACTTCCCAGAGAAGGACTGTCCAGTGGTGGTGAGCGCAGGCAACAGTGAGCTCAGCCTCCAGCTCCGCCTGCCTGGCCAGCAACTCCGTGAAGGCTCCTTTCGGGTCACCCGCATGCGGTGCTGGCGGGTCACCTCCTCTGTGAGTCGGGGTAGGAGGGGGAGACCTTTGGGATGGAGGCCTGGCAAGCCTTGAGCTTCGGGAATGGGCTGGAGTGGGTCAGGGAGAGGCACATCGGTCAGAATGAGCTCAGCCTAATTCTTACCCTTCCTCTCCCAGGTGCCACTGCCCAGTGGAGGCACAAGCAGCCCAGGTCGGGGCCGGGGTGAGGTGCGCCTGGAACTGGCTTTTGAATACCTCATGAGCAAGGACCGGCTACAGTGGGTCACCATCACCAGCCCCCAGGTGTGAGCCCACCCTCAGGCCTCCTCTGGAGCCCATTGCACCGTCTCTCTTAGATACCCAAGTCTAGGGCTTCCAGGACTCCATGTGAGTGGGAGCCCTTGTCTTAGGGGTGCTGGGCTCAGGATGACCACCCAGTCAGGCTGAGCTCTCTCCTTGCCCTCAGGCTATCATGATGAGCATCTGCTTACAGTCCATGGTGGATGAACTGATGGTGAAGAAATCCGGCGGCAGTATCAGGAAGGTAAGCAGCAAGCACAGACCAAGCAGCTGAGTGGTTGTGCTCTCCCTACCTTTTGTCCTAGGTGTGATGCCTCTCCTGAGAGGGAGGGGAAGGGATTGGGATTCCAAAGGGAGTGATCAGCCCTTATCAGCACCTCATGTCTCCATCCCCAGATGCTACGCCGGCGGGTGGGGGGCACCCTGAGACGCTCAGACAGCCAGCAAGCAGTGAAGTCCCCACCGCTGCTTGTAAGTACTACTCCCTGGTCAGTCCCCCAGCCCCCAGGCCTTGCATCACCTTCCCAGTGAGGTCTCTGACACCTCTGCCTCCTCCTCCCCAGGAGTCACCTGATACCAGCCGGGAGTCCATGGTCAAACTCTCAGTGAGTTTCCTACGAGGGTTGGTGAGGTTGGTGTTTGTAGGGGACCTTAGGGAGGCTTGAGCCCTCTGACCCCGACCCTGCCTTTATTACAGAGCAAGCTGAGTGCCGTGAGCTTGCGGGGGATTGGCACTCCCAGTACAGATGCCAGTGCCAGTGATGTCCACGGCAATTTCGCCTTTGAGGGCATTGGAGATGAGGATCTGTGATCTCCAGAGCTCGGATGTCTGCCCTGTACCCTGGAGGAGTGTTCAGAAACTTGCCCTGTGCCTGTATCCCCCAAACTGGGGTATTTTTCTTCGTATTGTCCCCTTTTCTCCTCGGCCAGGGGCCTCCTAACCTGCCTTCCCTTCCCCTCCCCAGGGCTGGCTATACAAAGGATCGCTCAGAGCTGGCCTTCAATGCCAAATTAGCATTTAGTATTTTGCACAAAGTCCACGGGACCATGGCTACCTGCCTGGGGAGGAACCACAACTCCCCCCAGGCTGCTTCTGGCTTCTCGGGGCCATGAGCCAAGGGGATGGGCAGAGGTCTGTGTATGGTCTGGCCCAGCTCCCCGTCATTAAACTCAGCCTGATTGCTGCCTACCTCTGGTTCCCTCTCACTGCCCCTGCTCCCCCCATCACAGCATGGACTGCTGTGCTACGGGTGAGGCCAAGCCGTGCTTGCCACTGCCAACTCAGCATAGACGTGGCTTTGTTAGTGTTTCCTTTATTATAAAGCACTGAAATAACTTAAATAAACAGGTGCGAGGCTGGACAGTCCCCCAGCCAGTTCATCCACCGCCCCTGGGAGCAGTGGAGGTGGATACAGGGCCCTTCTCACTGAGCTTATGAAGTCGCATCAGTCAAGGCAAGGCCCCCCTGGTCCATATGGGCCCCCCGCCCATGGGGTTTGGACTGGTCCGTATAGTGCCTAGGTTAGTCGGTGTGGAGCCCCTGGCCAGCGGGGGAGGAAGGTAAAGGTGGCTTCTGGTCCATCTGTATAAAACATACAGGAGGGTCAGGGCTAATTCATAGAGCCCTAGGGGAGAAGGACCTAGTTCAGGGTGAATCTGTGTGGAGAGCTCGGCTACCAGTGGCACCCAGGGCTGTTGTGCCCCGAGAGCTCAAAACAGAAGGGGGACTGTGAGGTGGCGCCCAGCCCTCAGAGGCAGAGAGGCCAGGCCCCCCTGCCCCACCATGGCCATGCACCTTCTGGTGGCGTTTGTAGTTGTCCCAGTGGCCCGTGGTATAGGCGCAGGTGGCACAGCGGAAGGGCTTCTCGCCTGTGTGCCGCAGCATGTGGCGTTTGAGGTTCATGCTCTGGTTGCAGCTGTAGTTGCAAAGACTACACCGAAAAGGTTTGTCCCCAGAGTGGATTCGACCGTGACGCTTGAGGTTGGCCAGGTTGCCACAGGCATAGGGGCAGAGCGGGCACTTGTAGGGCTTCTCTCCTGTGTGGACGCGCTGGTGCCGTTTCAGGTTATCCAGATGAGCAGAGGCATAAGGACAGCGGGCACAGCGGAAGGGCTTCTCACCACTGTGCGTCTTCATGTGCCGAGCCAAGTGGTTGGGATAGTGAGTGGCAAAGGGGCAGAGGCTACAGGCAAAGCCTTTGTCACTGGGGCCCTGGGGTCCACCACTGGCACCACTTCCAGTCTCTCCTCGCATGCAGCGCCCACACATGGCCGCTCCCAGCCGACTACCCTCCCCCTCTTCCAGCTCTTGTCCACAGTTCCGGCAGGTCCAAGGGAACAGCAGCTCTGGCAGTGGTTCTGATCCAGTCCCACATAGGCCTTCCCCTTCACTCCTCAGCTGCCCACAGTCTGGCAGGAAACTGGCACCACCTGGTGGCACATGGAGGCTCAAATCTGGAAGCAGCAGGGCATCTGTAGAGACAGTGAGACCTGGGCTATGAATCCAAGTACCCCTGAGGCCACCCACCCACATCCCAGGTTCTTTGCTCCCTGGCTTTTTACCTTCAGGTCGCCGGGGCACTGCCCCCTCCTGCTCTGTGGGACTGGGAGGCCGGGCAGGACGTGGAGCACAGCAGCGGAAGCCACAGGTCGGGCAGGGAGGAGTGGGGGGCCCCGCATGGGTGCGCTGATGCCGCCTCAGGTTGCCCAGGCTGCTGCAGGCAAAGGGGCAGTGGGGACAGCGGTAGGGCTTCTCGCCAGTGTGGGTGCGAGTATGTCGCGTCAGGTTGACGAGCTGGGCTGAGGCGTAGGGGCAGCGGCCACAGCGGAACGGCTTCTCCCCGCTGTGTGTCTGCATGTGCCGCTTCAGGTGGCTCGAGTAGTGGGACACGAAGGCGCAGAGACGGCATGAGTATAGTAGCCGTGGGGGCAGCGGGGGCCCCCCACCCGGCCCTCCTGCCCCACAACATGGCCCCTCACCTGTGGGCCCCCCACACAGCTGGCAGGCTGGGCCTGGCCTCTCACCCCTGGCCTCCCCTGGACCCCTGGCTGGCTCCTCAACTTCACTCTCCGCACTTAGTGCCCGGCCGCCCCCAGACTCGTCGTCGCTCAGCCCATAGGGAAGCCCAGGCCTGGCCCCCAGAGAGTCTCCTGGTGAGACAGACATGAGAAGAGACATCAACACAGGCTAGGAACAGACTCCAAACTCCCTTTCTCACTTGCGGTCTCCCCACTTGCTGGGCTCCACCCGTCTCTTCAATTCAATGATCCTAAAAATTCAACACAAATCATCTACCTCCAAGTCTGGACTAACCTAGTGATGACACAGTTGTACATAGGAACAATGAAAGGAAAAAGATCAAGGGCTCACAGTGGACCACATACTGAAATGAATCAATAATTAATTAATTGATTCTTGGGATAAGTAAAAATACACAAGGCAGAGGCCTGATACTTTTTTCTAGTGCCCCTATCAGTAAGGACTCTTAGTTTTTATTTTATAACCACCTCCATACTATCTCAAGAGGCAAAATTTGGAGGGAAGGGCTTCCCTGGTGGCGCAGTGGTTGAGAGTCCGCCTGCCGATGCAGGGGACACGGGGTCGTGCCCTGGTCGGGGAAGATCCCACATGCCGCGGAGCGGCTGGGCCCGTGAGCCATGGCTGCTGAGCCTGTGCATCCGGAGCCTGTGCTCTGCAACGGGAGAGGCCACAACAGCCCGCGTCCCGCCAAAAAAAAAAAAAAAAAAAAAAAAAAATTTGGAAGAGGAAACAAAGAAATGCATGTAATACCACTTCTAAGCCTAAAGGATGGATTCTCTTTTACATGGATTTCCTCAATGACTTTCAAAATCATCCTTCAGAAGTGGCATTAGTGGATAGGTTGGGGTGATGCTAAGATCACAGGGAAGAGGAATGTGGAAGGATATTTGAGGGCAGAGACTAATACCTCCATACAAGAGGAGTTTATGCTGCAGGTGAAAGGGAGTTAGATTAGATGTAAGTACTAGCTTGAATGAGGCTGCTTCCCTGAACCTCTTAAAAATAAACTCATCTAAGGAATGGGCTAGGGAGTGGGATAAAGTTATTAAAAGGGCATTTACTTTTAACCAGTTGTTCCATGTGATTCCTCTACCGTCCTATTCATACCACCTTTGAACCAGGCCCCAGAATTTGACCTCAACAAAGTGATGGACCATCAGGCAAATGAAATCTAGCTCAAATCTAAACTGAACCAGCCCCAGTGGCAGGAAACGGTGTTTTGCTCACTGGCACTATACTCTAACCCGCCTCCTAAAGGCTGAGGTTCCAGCGGTCACTTCCTTAAGTCAGTCCCCCAAACCCACCTTCAGAGTCTCTCTCGAAGCCCATGAGCTGGTCGCTGTTGCCGTCACCTTCCTCCTCTTCCTCTTCTTCCTCAAACTCCAGATCCTGGCCTAGTAGTAAATCACTCTCCAATACCAGGGCCCCGGGTCCTTCGTCGAGGGAGTCTTCAGTATCCACTGAAGAGGGGAAGAGGCTTGTAGATCCTCCCTCAGGAACCGTGCCCATCATTCGCACCCGGGGAGCCAGCCCTCGCAGGCCGTACTTCCCGCACTCGTAGACCCTCTCGGGCTCCGTTAGTACCTCGATGGGAAGCTAGGAGTCCAGATCGCCCACCCCATCCCTCAAGAGTCCCCCTCCACCCAGACCTGAACCCACACCACTGACCCCACCCCCGCTCCTCCCCACCTCGCAGCCCCTGACCCCTGACCCCTGACCTTTGACCCCCTCGCATTTCACGGGCTGCGGGTGGCTTTGCTTCCTTCGGGGCATCGTGACCGGCTCCAGCCCGACGCGCCTCCGGCCTGCGGCCGCCCGGCCCCGCCCCTCCCAATTCGGCCTGCCCGCCCTTCCTCTCAGGGCCCGCGGGCCGCCCCCATGCAGCGGCGCGGGCCCCGGGCTGCCCCCGGCCCTGGCCCCGGCGCCCAGCTCAGGCCGCTCCCGCCGCCGCCGCCGCCGCCGCGTCCATTCATGGAGCCCCCTACCCCCGCCCTACGGAGACCAGCTGGTACCTCCGTACTCGCTTCCGCTTCCGCTGTCGCAGAGCCACACGGGACGCGTAGTCCGTGGAAAGCAGAAGCCCCGAAAGCGTCCACAGCGTGACCAGGAAGTGATTGTAACGGAAGCAAGTGGGCGGGCCAATCAGGGATCAGATGAAACCTGGCCGGCAAGGAGGGTAGGTCAAACCGTGACCCTGGCTTTAGTCTTAAGGGTCGCCTGGCCGGTCCTGACCCCTACGTGGAGGAACAAGGAAATCATTCCTCACCCTAGGAGGGGGTGAGGATGAGCCGCGACGCCAGGCCAGGCTGCCAGCGGCTCAGGGAGTTACCATACTCGACCCCCTCTCCCCTGAGTCTCACACATCACACGCAGGCAGGTAGGTAGGCAGGTAGGTGCGCGCGCGCACCCACCCACCACACACACACCGCGCACACACACACACCACCCACCCACCACACACACACACCACCCACACCACACACACACACACACCCCCACACCACCTCACACACCACCCACACACAGGGAAGGGCTAGGTCGATGCTACTGGTGGGGGCCAACTATGGAGCCAGGGCATCCTGGGTGGGTGGTCTGGACAGGATGGCAGCAGAGAAAAAAGGACACCATGGGCACGATTAGGTTTTGGCCTTTAGTCTGAAAAAGTGTTGACTGAAAGTGTACAACAGAGAGCGGGTACAAGCGGCTGGGGGCCATGGAGCCGCCAATAAAAAAGAATGTCCTTAAATAAAGTTCACAGAGTAAAAACCAGAACCACCAGTCCTTCCCTCCAACACAACAGAGCACAGGCACAGAACCGGTGATGAGCCCCAAGGAGCAAGGAGGCGGCTGGGGAGGACAGCAGAGGCTCCCAGGCTGCTGTGTGGAGGGAGAGCCCTCTTTGGAATGGGCTGAGCAAAGCCACCCAGCTCCCCCTGCACACCTCATAACCACTGCTAAGGCTAAAGGAAAAAGACAAAACTCAGTCTCAGTCTGGAGGGCTCAGAAAACAGTCTAGGTGGGCAGGGGTCTGGACAACCGCTAGTCCCGCTTGGCCTTCTTCTTGTTGTCACTGTTGCCATTTTCTTCAGCCTCCTCAGTAGAGAGCACCTCCTCCAGTTTCCGCTTGCCACTCTCTGGCTGAAGTGCTGCTGTGTTTCGGGGCTTGAAGCAAATGATGATGCAGGTCATGTTGTCACATCCTGTACCATCCCCAGAAGTGTCTGGTGCCAGGCACTGATCCAGCAGCTACAAAAGGGATGGGGTAGCTCAGCTTCAGAGTTTGAAAACCTTCCTGGGAACCTAAAGTCTCAAAGGGCTGGCCTTGCTGAGACAGGGTGGCAGAAGGAGGGGAACAGGCAACAGGTGTCACAAAACAGGCCACTTGCTAATGCATGAGGCATAAGGATAAGTCAGGGAAATGAGGGAAAGTGAAACTTTCTAGTCAGAGTTTAGTATCTGTCAGTAATTAGTGATACCCCCAGGCTCTGGTCTTAAACTCAGGCCAAAAGAGAAAACCTTGGATACACAGACCAGACACCCTCTCTCCTCTACCCTGGGACTTACCTCTTCCACGATGGATGACAATAACCGAAGCTCCCCATTTTCATCACGCTGACTGATCTTCGATTGAATAAAGTCTATAACTTCCTGGCTGCTCATCACATTCCTGGGGTCAAAAACAACAGTAAGAATCTTCTTTAGTCCCAGCAAGGCAGAGTAGAAGATAGAGGTCACAGATGGCTCAGGCCAATGTAAACACCCACAGAGATTTTTCTCAGCTTTGCCTTAGGCTTGGGGGTCTTGACACCAAGCTGCTGCCTATCTAGGCTCTAATTCTAGAGCACCCTGAGAAAAGGGGCTGACTACAGCCATTAGAAGGAAGATAAAGCAGCTCAGAGACCTAGAAGTAATGCTGCAGGGGAAAAAGGGGAATTTTAGGGTGTTCCGCCAGTGCTTACCAGATGCCATCACAGGCAATGACCATGAATTCGTGATCGTCAGTGAGAGTCAGCACCTTGATGTCAGGAAGGGCCGAAATCATCTGTTCCTCAGGTGGCAAGTTCTTGTTTCTCTTGTAGAAGTGGTCTCCTGAAGTAAAGGAATGGATGGATGATGAGTAAGTAGTTTGAGCACTTCGCACAGATTTGTGGTTGAGGCCAGTCAAACCCTGCCATTTATTTCCCTTCTTTACAAAGTTCCATAATCTAGTGGAATGGAGAAGTGAGTTCTGGTTTTTCTGGTTTCAGCCCTGTCTTTGGGTTGCTGAACCTTAGGTCAGTCACTAACCTGTTTTTTCATCATCTAGAAGTGATACCTGTTTTACCTATTTCATAGCGATGATTAAGAGACATAGGTAGTAGATACAAAAATACTTGGAAAGATAAAAAGGCCATGAAGATTAAAGTTTGCTATAGGTAGTCTGGAACAGAGAACAAGACCCCAGAAGTGTTTCCCATAGTTTCTTGGCCCTTACCAATGGCTCTGGAGAGGTTGAGGCCACCATTGACTCGCCCATCCATGGTGACCTTGCCACCAGCATTCTTGATGCGTGCTAGCTCCACTTCATCCTCCGGTTTGTGGTCATAGGACATGTCTAAAGCTTTGCCAGCCTCAGACACCACACAGCGGGAGTCTCCTGCATTGGCTACGATCAACTGCTTCCCTCGTATCAGAGCCACCACTGCTGTTGTACCACTGTCAGAGCCAGGCTTAAAAGGAAGAAAGGGACCATCATGGGAGCTTCTGGACACCAGCTGTAATCATTCCCCTATGTCTTCTCATCTCACTAGGACCACCAAGAGCACTTTAATAGACAGGAGGAGCACAGCTTTAATCTTTCCTGATATAGCATGCTCTCCCCCTTTTCTGAGATAATTCTACCCGAAAGGCCAAATTCCCCTTGCAGAGTAAATCCCTCCATGACCATGACTTCAGTGCTAAGATAGGAAGGGGACGCTTCTCCCAAAATCAAAATCAGAGAATTCACACTTGGCCTCTTGGCTTTCCAGACTCATTGCCCTCCTTTCCCCACACACCTCCTCTTTGCCTTCCATCCCAGGCACCATCATCTCCTCCTCTTCTTCCTCATCCTCTTCAGCCTCCTCAGTGTCATCCTCGTCTTCCTCATTCTCTGCCTCTTCACTGCTATAGCCATCTTCTTCCTCACTGCATTCCTG